TCTACAATAAGACGTCACATGCAACAACACACACACACACACCTCATAATGCTACCCCTGCTGTTTCCAGAATGTCCGCTCAGCTTGGGCAGTTTTGATTGTATTGATTGTAATGAATTTTCTGTACATACGAGGATGAATATTGTGATATTATTGTTATTACTATTATTATTGCAGCCACTCTTCTTCTCTCTTTTTTTTTGCACACTTTGAGAGAGAGCAGGTTTACTTTTTTTCCATTCGAGTGATCACCTTTACAGCATCAGAAAAACAGTATAATAATAATACTAATAATAGTAGTAGTGATAAGGATGATAATCCCTTGATGAGTGTCTCTTAATTTGTGTGTAATATTGTTGTAATTTAAGAACGTGTCAATATCTGAATCACAGAAAAAGGAGGGCACATTGTTGTGATACGTCGATACGTCTCACTCATTTCACACTTTTTTCACATTTCAAAACTGAACTTTTAATTTATTTTCTATCTCACTCCATGAAATATATTTGGTTCAATGAATGTGCTTCTCCTCACCTCCCTTTCTCCCCCCACCTCTCCCCCACTCTCCCTCACTCTCCCTCTGTGTCTCTTGCTGTCTGTCTGTGTAACCTATCAATGTGCAGTGCTAAACCTGTCAGTAAATAAAGCCTGTCGTTTTTGAGTGTGATGTTAAGAAAGGAATAAACATTGCATTGATTAATAACTTATATTATTACTATGTTACTATTGGAACATTACCTGTAATTATTGATACGATGATGACATGGATTATGCTGACTAATTGTTATTGAGAACTGTCAGAAAACATTACGAAATTCATAATAAAAACACTATATGACGTCTCCATGAGAGAGCTTTCTTTTTAAAGCAGGAACTGAAACAATGCACATAACAGTATTTAAAAAGTAAGGTCATATAACCTGGAAGAATCACATAGTTTAAGGTACAATGTGTTCAGTTTGTATTAATTATAATTGACTTAATTATACTTGAGTATTTCAATTTGATGCTATACTTAATACTTCTACTTCACTACATTTCGGAGGCAAATATCGTACTTTTTTACCACTCGACATTTATGTAACACTTATAGTTACTAGTAACTTTTTACATATATCAAAAACACAACCTCTGTTCCTTACTTATTACTTGCTTTCCCTCAACCTATCCTAAGGGAGTGCATGTACGTAGACACGTTAGTTAGCTGCTATAGGCTTAGACTGTCGGGGGACACCTTACCAGTGGCGGTCCTAGACCAATTTGACTGGGGGGGCCACTGGGGGGCCAGTTATTTTCTGAGGGGGGCACAATAAATGCAGGACGAAAAAGAGAACTAGACAGTATGAAGTAATTGCGCATAAGAAAACAATGCAATACAGTTATTGGTATTTGTTTCAGTACACTTATTTATTTCAGATATATCTTATAGTTATTACTGTTAGCTTCAGCTTAAGTTGTAGTACAATTTTTGCACTAACACCATATCATATTTATATAAAAATAAAGGCAATGAACAGTTACATCTCTACTTTACATCTACAATTACACGGATACAATAGTTTAACTCACCTTCAATTATCGTGGTAGTCTCTCGAAACGTAGGTTTCAATCAGTCTTTCTTGGATGCAACAGCCTCTGATGATCCGAGATGAAAAGTGTTTGTTTTTCGCGCGCTTCAGCCGGACAGTGAAAGTGAGTGCACCGCTCTAATGGGTCCTGAGTGCACCGCTCTAATGGGTCCGACTAGAATGACGAATAACGTTAGTTCCGCCTATTCCGTCATTCAATAAATCGTGTAATAAATCATTAATTATTTATTTTTTCCACTATTCATTTTTAGGGGGGCCACAGGGGGGTCGGATGTCAGTGTTATGGGGCCCCCCCCCCCTAGAACCGCCCATGCACCTTACTTCTTCCTTCTGTCTGTCTGTACCTGTGTACTCTCATGTTCCGAATAACCCAGCTTCCCCCAAATCTCTTTTTGATGTCTATCTACGCCGGGATCCTGAGTCGAGGCTGATCCTGTTGCTGCGGTCCTGTGTCCTGGATCCTCTATCATGTGTCCTGGATCCTGGATCCTGAGTCCTGGATCCTAAATCCTCGATCCTTAGTCCTGGATCCTTAGTCCTGAGTCCTAGATCCTGTGTCCTGGATCCTCTATCCTGAGTTCTGGATTTGAGTCCTGGACTTCGAGTCGTGGCTGAACCTGTCTCTGCGGTCCTGCCTGACTCTCACCATACTACTTCCCTGATGGCTCCCACAGGACTGTTGACATCCTCGTGGATTCATCTTCTTATTACAGACACATGCATTTCCCAACATTTGGTCTACCTACGCTGTAAAATGTATTATCTCTTCGATTTACATATTGCACGTCTGTCCGTCCTGGGAGAGGGATCCTTCCTCTGTTGCTCTCCCTGAGGTTTCTCCAATTTTTCCCTTTAAACTGTGGGGTTTCTCTGGAAGTTTTTTCTTGTACGATGTGAAGGTCTAAGGATAGAGGGTGTCATATTGTCATACTGATATTCTGTACACACTGTGAAGCAGGCCCGGACTGGCCATCGGGAGGACCGGGAGGTTTCCCGATGGCCTGGTCTGCTAAGTGGCCAGCTGGCCTGAGGAATCTTTTTTTTATGTATGTATTGTGAACGCAACGCTGCGCAAATGTGGATCTGACTCTGCCTCACAGAGGCTGTCTACATGATGTGGCCTGCCGACATGGCCACTTTCATACAGATCATACACTAATGCCCTCGATTGGTCTCTGTGTCATTCAAGCTCGGGAGGGTGTATGTGTGGCGCTAGCGAGCGAGAGAGAGAGCGCGCGCACCGGTTACGTGTAGTGTTGTTATTAGCATCTGGTGCTAGCTAGCTGCGCTAATGGATATAAGGAGCTGTTTCAACAACAAGGTGGAGGAGAGTCCTCTGCTGTCAGACTGAGAGACTGATAACTACAGCTCAGGTGAGGTAAAGGACTATTTAGGAGTGCTTAGATAGTTAACTTTGTCTAAGTTATCTCTGTGGGTCTCAAACGGTTTGGTCACCATTTATGTAAACACATATTTCCATTTGAGGGGGGAGTGAGATTAGTGAAATATGCATGAATAATACAAAAACAAATGTTAACTAGGTGAAAAAAGGTAAGATAAACTTTTAAAACTTGTTGAGAGCTAAAAACTAGTCTTTGCTGCTGCCTCAAAGAGGAGCAGGGGGAGAGGAGGGAGACAGGAGAGGCTGATTCAGGAGCACAGACACACTCACAACTATAAATTAACCAAAAATAAATAAAATAAACAAGTTTCAATGTTTTTTCATATTGGATATGGTATGTTATTGGTTATGGCCATGTTCTTAGGATTTTATGATTATTTAAATGTATACAGTTCTGTTTCATATGGGTGTAGTCTCTTTATTTCAAAAGTGCACCAGATTGATGCATTTAACTCCAACATTTAACAAACAAATCTTACCGGGGGAGCATGCCCCCAGACCCCCCTATAGGATTTGAGGTCCACCCCCACTTAAAATATGTTCACATGAACAGGTTCCTAAATAGATTTTCACATTTTTTTAAATAGTGACCCATGTCCATATGTTTATTTTTGGGTAGTAGATTTAAACTATAGGGCTATCACTATGGGCAGCAACGCTGTAAATATTGACAAATAAATCCAGCAAAATGGCACAAAAAAAAACTGGTAGTGGCCTGGCTGGGTGTATAATTCCCGGCCTGACTTATTGTCCCAGTCCGGCCCTGCTGTGAAGTCCACTGAGACAAATGTAACATTTGTGATATTGGGCTATATAAATAAACATTGATTGATTGATGTTATTCCTAAATTATAGGATGCTGTACTGCACTACTAATCTGCCATTTTGCAATAGAAAGCCTACTTTTAACACATAAGAACATTTGGATGTCACTTACATATATTATGGCAAAACGTATGACATTGGTGTTATGTATTGAAGTATATTTGAGTGATGTGACGTTCGCCAACGATCCGATTCTTTCGAACGGCTCTTTGGTAAGAACGAAGGGAACCGAGTCCTACTTGGTGAGAGCCGTTCTTTTTATCGTTGGTTCACTGCCTGCCATAAATCCACTCGCCTATACAGGAACTTGCTTTTCTGAATGCAAATTAGTCGTAGATGATGGCATAACGCATGCTGCTTGAGTAGTAGTTTGGCTGGCTGAGAGATGTAGCAAGTTATACATTTTTCTGTGAGTAAAAGTAGATTTCTGGCAATACAGTCAATCATTATCCTGATGATTGTTTCCCAGATAAACCTAGTAACCTCGCCCCTTTAAAAAAAAAAACCCGGCTCTTTTGAACGGCTCTCGGAAAGGAACGGAGCCATGAGGTCCGGCTCACTTCAAAGAGCCGTAATTCCCTACTCAAGTATTGATTTTAGGGTACTTTTGCTTTCCTTATTTTATGCTTGTATACTTCTGTTCCACTTCATGTTATAAGCCAATGTTGTACTTTTTACTCCACTACATTTATCTAACAAAACGAGTTACTATTTACTTTACAGATTCAGATTAGTGGCTGAAAAAACATATAAATAAACTATGATATACAATTATAGGTTAAGATATTTAGCAGTAGTATAAGTAGGTAATTTAAATTAGCTCCGCCTTTACCATCTGTGATTTACACATTAATGCATCAATAATCATAATCCAGTAATGTATATGATTCTGAATTGAGCTTCAACGCACAATATGTACTTACTTTTGTACTTTTAATTAAGTAATATTTTCGATGCATGACTTTTACTTATAACTTAGTATTTTTACACTGTAGTATTTCTACTTTTACTTAAGTACAAGCAGTACTTCTTCCATCACTGCTTCATGGGGTGTTTTTGCACCTGGCAACTGGACTTTGATCTCCTGCGCAATATTTATTTTACGTAAATCATTTACGTTCTCTTTTGTCTTTTCATAGTTCCAATGCTCTCAACTCCCTGAGTCTTATTACGTAAGCCTGTTCGAGAATACCAAACCAACCGTTACGTTCCTACGTTACGACACTCTCAAAGCGATCGGTGAAGGGTTTGTGGGTCATGGATGAGGAAGGTAAATAAAGGAGAAGCGCTGATATTCCACACGGTTACCGGGAGCTTTCACGCTGAGGCACCTGTCTTTTTGATACGGTTGGTGGAGGACACACCGGAGAGGAGGGAGTGTCGGTTCGGCTCCAGCAGCAGCAGAAGCTGTCGGCGGTAAGATGAACATCACGCTGCCCTTCTGTAGACGCCTCTCTCCGGCTATACACAGCAGGAATGATCTCTGCACTGGCCCTTCAGGAGCTAGCTTCACCATTAGCTTAACGCTAGCTACATTCGCTATTGTTAGAAGACAAAACCGATTTTTTTATTATTGAAATAGGCTTTGTTTGATTTCCTATTTAATAGACAGCATGTTGGCTACGTTATAGCATATTTTATAATGAACGTTTCCGAAGCTAATTTAGCTGTTTCTGACTGGAGCTCAGTTAGCATCGTGCTAAACAATGCTATCAGTGTACAGGTAACTGCTCTGACACAAGACAGGTAAAAAGCACCTTAATACAAGATTCAAGATATTATATTAACATGTTTACAGTATAACAGGCAGTTGCACTGTACAGGGACATTCTTACGTTCAGCTCTCCACATATTAAGAAACTATGCTAACAAAACAAACAAGATTAAAAACAGAATCAGGAATCTTTTTTTAGTCCCACAGCGGGGACATTTATAGCATATAAGAACATTTTAAGATATAACATACATTACATATATAATTCCTTAATACTGACATTGAATTTATTTCATGTGTCCACCTTATGTGTGGATTTGCAGAACACACCTTCTGTCCCTGTTAATGCAGCAGGTAGGACATGAGCACACATACAGGAATGTATCTTTTTTGTCCTTAATATACTTACACAGGTAAAGAAAGTGATATAAGTAATACTCAGCTATCACTCTAGCAGTAACACAGTTTAAGAATACGTTATTATTACAAGTGCAAGCTCTACAAACTTTACTTAAAGTTTCAAAACAAATTATCAGCAAGTACCAGAGGTAAAAGTATTCTCTTTGCAGTACGCCCCATTTCAGATTCATATATATGATATAACTGGAGTTTAATTATGAATGGATGTGGACATAACTATGATGTGGGGCTTATTTGGATTACTTGATATTCTGCTGACAGTTAACTTCTAATATATATACATGTATTAGTTGACTCTATATGTTGTCTTTACAACCTAAATCTGCAAAGTCATCAAAGTTATTAAACACAAGCTGAACAAGAGTCAAATTAAACATTAACATAGATTTTTCTTTATAAATCATAGACTGTTTTAATGTTTAATTGACAGCACTGTAACTTTTATCCATGTATTTTTTCTTTTAATGTTTATTTTATTAGCTTTTCTTTTTAATGACTGATTTTAAATGCCATTTTCTTAATCTCTTTCATTTTTTGTAAAGCACTTTGAATTGCCTTGTGTTGAAAAGTGCTATATAAATAAACTTGCCTTGCCTTGCCTTGTTACTGTGAACTGTAAGCAGGAGAAATGCATATTGAATGACTACATTAAAAGGTCGCTTTATACAAGTACATGTGTGGGTATGTGCAGTCTATGCATGTATATGTACTCAGTATACACAGCGGTTTAGGTTCAGATTTAACAGTTAGAATATGTTCATGTTACAAACAACTGTGTATTTTTTGGGTAAAATAGATCATATATAGCGTCATTTCAGTGATGTTAACTTTTCAGGAGGTACGCCCTGCTGGAAGAAGGTTTTGTGTCTGGTTGTTTTTCTGTTTTCTGTAGAGTCTAACAGAGGGAAGATGTTAAAACAATGTAGTGTGAAGCGTCTGCGCTCACGTTTCCTGCCTGTTTCCTGACTCTAGAGGGGAATAAATCCTGAACAGAGCGCAGGTTCGCAGTCCTGATTTTCCACAGCAGTCTGTCAATGTTCTATCTGGTGGCTAATCCAAACCAGACAGTGGTGCATGTAACACTGTGAGTGAGCAAGTAAACAAGTGTCACCCTGTCCTACAGTATCAGTGATGGTGTATTAATATCTGTGCCTGATCCTCTTACTTTGACCCTAATCATCGCAGCAGCTTTTTCAATCAGTGGGAATAATTAGTTGTTAAGCCTGGACAATAGGAGTGAAAGGAGTGGACTCTTGTTCGTTAAGTGAACACTGCTAGAGTTGAGTGGAGGACAGGGAGTTACATTTTCTGTTACTGACAGTTCATTATGGAAGTTGTTACCATTACGTATTCCTCCAGGGGGGGATAGAGAAGTTGAGTAGGCCGTCATGTTCGACAGTTTGTCAGCTGTTCATCCGTGATGTAGGTCAGTCAGTGAGTTGAGCTGCAAGTTTCCTCTTGGACCTCATTATGTTATTTTCAGGCTTTGCATGACGGAGCTGAACTGCGTCAGAAGGATTTTACTATCCTAATTGTTTTGATTTTGGACAATCAGGTGAGTGATCATTAGATAAATTAGGTCCTGATTGAACTTAGTATTAATATCATATTGTCGACCACGTCTGGTTGTCGTTTAAATGACCATACAGATACCAAAATGTTACGGTTAGTTGTTTAGTACCTTATTAATTATAGACCATTTTTCTCCTGCAAAACCCTTTATTATAAAACAAATGTAGTCTCAACAAAAGTCGACAAGAACTTGTCCAAATAGAAACCTCGAAATGTGGAACATATTTAATGTAGGTATTTGGAAATATCTCCTTCATTAAATTCAACTTCATTAGAATTTGCAAGTATCTTTCAGTTTTTGACTTGTCAGATTTTGTTCTTATTGTTATTGTGAATTGTAGAAATGTGGTATTTTAATGTCTTTTATGCAGATCCTAGTGGTTGGTATTGCAGTAATGGGTTATGGGGATCCTGAGAAAAGTATAAAATAAGAAGCTTTTGGATATTCGTGCTATGCACATATGGTTCTCTACCAAAGAAGTATTTGGGTTCAATACCCAGACCTGTATGAAAGTATAGTCTTGGAATATATCTACACGAGACAAGTGATATCGTTTTAAAATGTCGTCTTGTTGTTATTGCAAAGGCTGCAATGCAGTTTAAAGCCCTCTGAAGTTACTGCAGAGTGATACATGAAGTGAATGTCTGTGCCTGCCGGGCCATCACATCCACATTATTCACGGTTCACCCTCAGCCAGGAAATGACACGGAAAACAGCAGATGGAGCTTCAGTTTGTCGATGTGACAGAGACTATCTGTGCAGCGTGGACACGTTCGACACAACACTGAATCCTCAATGAACTCTGGATGTCTGTTATCGTGTATTTCGTTTTTGACTCACACATTTTCTAAGATAACAAAACAACACTTGACAGGTTAATTTTACACATGAGTTATTCTATGCCCCTTTGCAGGATGCTTCGTTTTGGTTTTGCATAATGTGTCGTACTGGGCCTCAGCTGCTGTCATCTTCCTTCGGGAATCAGACCTATGACTGTGCAGTTTTAGAGCTGTCTAATCTAGTTGTGGATTACCGGAAGATTTATTGCCAACTATTTTATAATCAATTAATTGATAAAGGCAAATCAAGTTTTATCTTTTGAAAAACATTAAAGGTGTCATATAATGACATAATGCAAAAAAACACACAGTGTCAAATAACATTAAATACATTAAACAGTCATTAACCTGTTAAGCTGTCTCAGGGCTTCTTAACATTTAACAACCTATTAATGTGTCGTACCCACTTAACGGGAAGAAACTCAGCTAACTGACGATACGAACCATTTTTACCGAAACAAAACACAAGTCTCACAAGAAGCGTCTAAATGAGCCCTGAGCGAAAAAATGCTAACGCACTTAGCACAGAACTCACGGTATAAATACTTATACTTCTCGGATCTACACAAACAAGACATCAGCTAGCAAGCTGAGATTCCACAGATTCTAGGGGTATAAGTATCATCACTGAGCGATCAAAACTCGCGGCAGGGGAAGCAAACCCAGACATCACACAACGTAGCTTTACGGAGGAAAAACTGAAAATATGTCTTACCTTTTGCTGTTTCTAATCAAAAGTTGTGTTCAATGGCATCAAAACGATAAAAACGCTGCTGAAGGTTAATCCAATGTGTCTGTGTCACTTTGAATGATTACTGATAATCCATCTTCATATTTATGTCAATAACGGAGATTTCATATTAGCTGCTACGAGACTGTATGAGAGCTTCCCGATCTGGGCAATCTGGCTGTGCAGCACTCATTCACCAATGGGTAATGTTTAGATGGATTTTAAGAACTTCCCCTCGATTCTATTGGTTCTGACGGTTAGAAAGAGGTGTCAATCATCAAAATCGAACAAGGGGGGCCAGAGATAGGTCAAATGACCCCAGAAGTGTTTTTTTTTTTGCTAAACCTAAAAAGGTCAAATGTCACTTGTTTTGCATCAATCTTGATACAGGGTACTTATTATGTTATAGTTTGGATTCCTAAAGCTTTTAGTCTCCGATCCCATCATTCAAGGGTGGTTTTCACTATAAGTCATGTTTTGGACGGACACTATAATTAAACATGTTTTACTATGTTCAATCTGAATTTACTTTCAAATAAAAACATCTATATTGATTCTGACTTTTCTACATCCAACTCCCAGATGTAACCTTGCTTTGAGAACAAAGATTATTAATTTAACCCTTTTAGAAGTGAGGATAGAGTCATTTGTTCTGGGCATGTCATTTTCAAGCCTGAGGCCTGAAAAACAGGCTCGGGGGCTAACAGGTTAAAATGCCAACAGAATACAATTTAATAGTAGCTAAAATAGCATATCACTGCTATGAAATACAAGAAGACATTTTACAGTGTTAGATGTGGATATAGTTTATAATTTATAGTATTTTAGTGTCTTAAATATGGATATTTCATGCTTTTCTCTATTTATTCTCATATAAAAAAATTGGCAAAACAAGGCATTTGAAGGACATCACCTTGGAAACTGCAAAGAATATTTTCCCACTGTTTTCTGACATTCTGTGTAGACCAAATGTTTAACAATGACAATAATCGTTAGTTCACCCCTATGCAGTTTACCTTTTGGATTTAAATGGATTAACACGCATCTAATTATGTGCTTCACTTTGACTGAGAAGAGTCCAATTAAAACAAACGATGATTCCTTTAACTTCCTGCTCACTGACGGTATTTGATCGTCTTTTCCCCGTCTCAGTTCTCAGGGTTTGCCTCGTGCTTGTGTTGCCATGGCGATGCGGGAGTTGGTGGAGGCCGAGTGTGGGGGAGCCAATCCCCTCATGAAGCTGACCGGTCACATGACCACGGAGGGGGGAGCATGGCGGCACCGCTCAACACCTACAGTGAGTAACTAATACATTTCATTTTCATTGGTTCCGTTCATGGTATGCACAACTCAAGGTTTAACAATTATTTACAAAACATGTCTCTATAAACACACCGTACCCGGAAATAATCTTATATTACCCGCCCCTTTCTCAAAAAGAATCGTGGGGAAATAAGAGAAACACAAAAACGTACAAAAAAATACTTAGTTCCCACTTGACAGTTAACGAAAATAAACAAAACACAACAACAACAACAACAACAACAAAACATCACATGTACATGACTATTAGTATTTAAAAAAATCTGCAACACAGTGGAGCTACTGTTGTGTTTTGGTTTCAATGCATTCATAAGCAGTCTGAAAGTGTTATTTGAGCCTGCTTGTATTTACCTTATTTATTAAAATATCTATATAGACTGCAGAAATGTCAGTGCTATCGGGAAACATACATGGCATGTTTGGAAACACCTTTTGCTGGAATAAATAATACATGACTAATGTAACGGGCTGCTTTTAGATTTCATAAATACGTTATTTTTCATGAATAAATTGCAGAAAATGCAGTTTTTAGCCTCTCAAAAATGTGGATTTCCTGTTCTGTTTTAAACTGACAAAACAAACATTTAAAGACATCACCTTCAACTCTTACTTTTTCTGAAATGTTTTATACTATTTACTTATGTATTTATTATAGCATTGATACCAACGGCACATACTTTAGTGTTATCATGAAGTTGCTGCTTAACAATGGCTTCCGCTTGAGAAACGTCTGCAATCTCGTGTTATCACTTTTCTAAAACATTTCCAATTTAGCAAAAGACCACTGTATTTTTATGATCAAATAGTTTACACAAGAGACGAGCATGACCATAAGACTAGACAAGCTACATCAGGCCATCTACTGGCACCTAAACCCAGGACACATCTCCTGAAATCTTCTGTGTCTTATAGAGCTATAAAGGAATGGAACTCATTGCCAAACTACCTTGCTGAAATAGAGTCCAGAGCCTCTTTCAAGAAGAGATTGAAGGGCCATCTACTAATGACCATGTACCCTTGTGAGCTGTGAACCCTAATTTAATTTGATCTCATGCTTTGTACTGGTGGGTGTCTTGTGCACTCATCCTTGGCTGAGATTGATATTGAAAGTGGATGAGATTGTTGATGATGTTGGAAATTGTTGATGATGTTGTTAATGATGTCTTGAATGTTGTTGTTTTGTTTTAAGTGTCGGACCCCAGGAAGAGTAGCTTTTGTCAAGAGCAAAAGCTAATGGGGATCCTTAATAAACATAAACGGACATGGCATGTGTCGCAATATCCCTAGATGGAATAAATATGTTATGACTAAGTAACGGGTTGCTTTATATTAGGGACGCTCCGGTCGCCAATTTTGGGGCCGATCGCCGGAATCAGTGTCGGCCGATGCCGACCGAGTGGGCGGGGCCTATGGGGATCTTCCATTTAAATTGATGTTTAAAACTCAGTTAATGCTCATTCACTGGCGCTTCCACAAACAACAACCAACATTTACATTCATGAAGTACATTATTCAAGTTTACATTAACTTTGGATATACGGGAGAAATTAGCGGAAGCGCCCTCTCTCTCTCTTTTCCTCTCTCCCTCTCCCTCTCTCTCCCCCTCTCTCTCTCTCCTGGCAGCCTGTCAGTATCTCATGCAGCTCACTGATCCAGTAATGAGTGACCCGACAGTGAAGAATAAATATATGTATAACTAGTTTAGTTCCAAAGGTAGATAAAATGGCTAAGTGTGTTCGGTCTAACTCTTACGGCCCGTCCACACAGCGGCGTGCGTTGAAGCTTCCAACGCTTCTGCCCATTCACTTTGAATGGGGTGACGTCGCTTTTAGCCGAACGGCATTTTGGGAAGCGACGTGGAGCGTTGCTGGCGTTGCTCGCCTCAAAAGTTGAGCAATGTTCAACTTTTGACGCCTCGACGGAGGCGTCAGCCAATCGAATCATATGCCAGTACAAGCTCTAGCCAATCAAACTGCGTGCTTGTGTGTCTGGGGCGGGAGATTCATGTGATTGGTTGTTGGTCGAGTGTCAGACACGCCCGCCGGCAAGCGTCAACGCACGCCGCTGTGTGGACGGGCCGTTAGTGTGTGTCGCTCCGCTCACCGGTCCGTCACAGCGGGCGGAGCTGCAGGATTTCTGCTTCACACACGTTGCATTCCGCTATTTTACTGTCTTTTTCGGACACCTTGAAATACTGCCAGACCGGTGAAGCTGCAATAATTTGTTAATGGACAGAAAAATAATTGCCAACTATTTTGATAATCGATAATCATTCAAGCTATTTTTTTTAGCTTCTGAAAAAGGGACTTTCCCTTTGTCTTATATCATATTACACTGAGTATCTTTAGATTTTGAACTTACAAAACATTTACTTAACAAAAACTATCTTCTGATATCAATCGACTGTTTATGTATAACAGCATTGATAAAGTTGATCTTTCTGTATTAATACAATGACAATAAATATATTCTAGCCTACTCTAGGTCAAACAGCTGAATCTATCATCCTCATCTCCTACATTGTGCTCTTCATATTTCAGTGTTTTCATGAAATTGCTTCTTGAAAATAACATGTTTTTATAACAAATGTTCTCCTTTTTGTTTCTCAGATGCCTCCCTCTTCTATTGAAATTGCAACTGAGGAAGAGGTCAGCACTTATTCACATTTTCACATTCAACACTGTACAATAATAACAGAAGCATTTCAGCCGCGTAGCCCTGAGAATGCTGGGGGCAAATGTCCTGATATAGTCTCTGAAAAGCAGAATTTATTTTATGTTTGTGCTGCAGCTGGTGAATGAGTTCCTCCAGGCGCCCCCTCGCCCCCCTCACACATTTGACATGGGTCAGCTGTTGGAGGAAATGCAGCAGATTGACCAGCAGAGCTACAGGCAAGCTCCACAAAGAGGTACACTTCATTACTTCAGTATTTTAAGCCAGTTTTTAGGTATTTTCTCCAGCATTTGTATGGGTCAGGCTTAAAGGTCTCCTATTATAGTATTTTTAGGCATATATTATAGGTCTCAGACATATACAAATATATAACAAACATGTCTATGAAGTGTTTTGCTCAAAATACCAAACAGATCACACATTCTAGCCATGCCTCATATCCCTCTGTTTCACCTCGATCGAGAAGTGGTGATTCTGGGTCCGTAGCTTTAAAAAAAAAAAAAAAGACTCTCTCCAGTGCAGGTTAGCTCTGAGTGTTAGCGATGCTAATGTAAACAGAGACCATATTACGTCCAAAACACGTCGCACATTGTTTCTGATAGCGAGGTTTCTGATTGGGCCGTGGGTCCACATTTCAGATATCACGTCATATCAGACACAAATCTGGATCAGCTCCGTTGTTCCCCCGTTTTTAGAGATTTGGGTACGGAGGAAAAGAGAGGGTTTTATTTTCTGACATTTTGTGAGTTCCCTGACACACCGGGGACACATGTTAATGTAGAAGAGACATCAACATGTGTCCCCTCTTCTTCATGTCTCTTCTACATCAACATGTGTCCCCTCTTCTTCATGTCTCTTCTACATCAACATGTGTCCCCTCTTCTTCATGTCTCTTCTACATCAACATGTGTCCCCTCTTCTCCATGTCTCTTCTACATCAACATGTGTCCCCTCTTCTTCATGTCTCTTCTACATCAACATGTGTCCCCTCTTCTTCATGTCTCTTCTTCATCAACATGTGTCCTCTCTTCTTCATGTCTCTTCTACATCACCATGTGTCCCCTCTTCTTCATGTCTCTTCTACATCAACATGTGTCCCCCTCTTCTTCATGTCTCTTCTACATCAACATGTGTCCCCCTCTTCTTCATGTCTCTTCTACATCAACATGTGTCCCCTCTTCTTCATGTCTCTTCTACATCAACATGTGTCCCCTCTTCTTCGTGTCTCTTCTACATCAACATGTGTCCCCTCTTCTTCATGTCTCTTCTACATCAACATGTGTCCCCTCTTCTTCATGTCTCTTCTACATCAACATGTGTCCCCTCTTCTTCATGTCTCTTCTTCATCAACATGTGTCCCCTCTTCTTCGTGTCTCTTCTACATCAACATGTGTCCCCTCTTCTTCATGTCTCTTCTACATCAACATGTGTCCCCTCTTCTCCATGTCTCTTCTACATCAACATGTGTCCCCTCTTCTTCATGTCTCTTCTACATCAACATGTGTCCCCTCTTCTTCATGTCTCTTCTACATCAACATGTGTCCCCTCTTCTTCATGTCTCTTCTACATCAACATGTGTCCCCTCTTCTTCATGTCTCTTCTACATCAACATGTGTCCCCCTCTTCTTCATGTCTCTTCTACATCAACATGTGTCCCCTCTTCTTCATGTCTCTTCTACATCAACATGTGTCCCCTCTTCTCCATGTCTCCTCTACATCAACATGTGTCCCCTCTTCTTCATGTCTCTTCTAACATCAACATGTGTCCCCTCTTCTTCATGTCTCTTCTACATCAACATGTGTCCCCTCTGTGGAAAGAGACTCTGAAAGTTTCAGGAACAAAGATTCTCTCTCTTTTTGATCCATTTCTATAAAAACCTGTCTGAAAATGAGCTGATCAGATTTTGGCCACTTTATGATGTCATAACGATGTGTTGTCTTGTGTAACCATTAGCCAATCACCAACCAAGGTGCCCCCCCCCCCCACCTTATCACCTGAATCTCCTCCTAGAGCACCATTGAGGTCTTTGTAACCAAATCTCTCTCAGAGAGGCGTGGGGAGGGGCTCCTTGTTTTCATCTAAAGTAACAGACAGGGTAATACTGCAATGGTCTGTTTGGTGTTTCAGCCAATCAGAGACATGTTCTGGATATATCTGAGACCTGTAATATATTGATGAAAAACAGTATAATAGGAGACCTTTAAGTCTTTGCACGAACAGTTTCCTGTGTTTTAAGCACCGCATTCCTCCACATCACAGCTCCAGATGTGGCAGCGTTGGCGCTCTCCGGTGATTGGACGGCTGAGTTCCTCTCCGGTCCGGACTCCGCCTCCGCACCGGGGCTCGTGGCTCTCGGGGAAGCGGCAGAAGCTGATTGGACGAAAGAGTTTATCGCTGAGGCTGCAGGTTTGCTCCCCCTTATGTTTCACTCTTTGAACACGCTTTGCTTCACGAGCCCTTCATCTTTTCTGTAATCATCATCAGTCTGTCATCACTGACATCAGAGGAAACTAGCTATGGATAAATCCTTTTATTTTTTGCATAGTGTGTGCTTTTCACAATGTGCTCACCCTTTTTCTCCCTCTCCCCGCTTCAGATCCTGGTCGCTGGGCGGAGGAATATCTGGAGCAGTCGGAGGAGAAGCTTTGGCTCGGAGATCTGGGAGACAAGGAGAGCGAATGGTGAGAAACGGGGATGAGGGACTTGAGTGTTGATCGATTGCAAAGGAGAATTGGCTTATATTATTAGCTATTTAAGGTACATTCTAATACAAAGAGCACCATATACAAGACAACAAGAGAATAGTAGAGTAGGGCTGCTCAATTCATCGTATTTTAATCGCGATTACGATTATGGATAGCAACGATTACGAAAACAACGTTTTTTTTAAATAATAATTTTTTTTTTTTTTTTGGGTTTTTCAGTTGAATTATTACTTAAAGTTCAGGGTAATCAACTGTTAAAAACATACTGTTCAAATTGTTTTCCTCCATTAAATGGATGTTGTCAAAGTCAATGAATAATCGCATTTAACAATCGCAATTACAATTATTGACCCAAATAATCGAGATTATGATTTTTGCCATAATCGAGCAGTAGAAGGTGAACAATGCATTTCTGAGCATGGATTAAGTTCCTGTAACTTTTAACCATGTCTGTTCTGACACATCTAATCATCAACACAGTGCACTGACCTCATAAGGACTAGCTTGTACGACCTGCAGCCTGATTGTATTTGTTCCAGTCTTCTTGTAGAACAATACAGATATTCTAGGATTACTATATGACAACATTTTCCATTGTGGTTTGAAAATAAATGACAAAGCCTGGGAATAGGGGTAATATTGAGAGAAAACATCTGAATTTGCAGACTTAACTTTGTGAACTCACATGGGAAAAAACTTGAATATTCTCATTTATGTCAAACATTTGCAAGAGAAAAATCAGAAATCTCCTGAGATTAAAAAACACATTTTAATAGAGAATAAAAGGGCTAACGTTTTTTTTTATTAAGTCACCACATTACTTCGCTTTGCAAGGTTGGAATAAACAACAGCGTTTCCGCCAGGGGGGCGTCTTGCCGTCATTTGACGTCCAAAAAAATAAATAATTCGAGAGAAGATCGAGAGTTTTTATCGCTTGAAATGACGAAAAGGAAAAAGGACATCCCTCTGCTGGAGGGGCAAAGGAGTCTGGTGGGATTCTTTTCGCCACCAGCAAAGCGTGTTCCTGTGACGGAAAGTGTACTGCCGGCGAGCCTTGACGGGGGGGGTGCTAGTAGAGCACAAGTGTGAACTGCGAGCGCCGGAGCCTCGCAGCGGCGAAACTGAGGCTCCGTATTAGGGCTGCACGATTTTGGGAAGAAATTGAATTGCAATTTTCTGACAGATATTGCGATTCGATTTGCTAAATTAGTTTTTAAGCGACCCAACAAAAGTTTATTGTAAAATGCGGCCATATCTCCGGCTAGGAAGGTCGTACCAACGTGCTCCCGTCTCTAGCACCCCGCAGCCCGAGCTACGAGTGAAAGAAGTAAACTTACATGAAACTTCCGTTGGGTTGCTTTTAAAGTCAAGCTTCAGTTTCAGACTCACCCTGTAATAGAAACATGTGATGGAGCATTACTAACCTGACTCAGATGGTTAGTTTCACCAAGCCATCTAGGAAAGCTCCATTGGAAGCCATTTGGAAAGGGCAGGCACTTTCAAAAGCACTTGGCAGGTGATTGGATCAATTTGTCTATCACCTTCTATCATGGGCCCCTTCTGATTGGTTAACAATGGCTGGTACATGTGGAGCACAGCACTTCTGATCGGTGTGGATGACTGACACACAAGAAGAACAAAGAAAAGTTTTAAAAAATGGCAGGCTTTGCGATTTGATAATCGCATCATTTGATAATCGCGATTTCGATTTAAAATCGATTAATCGTTCAGCCCTACTCCGTGGTAAACTGTGGTAACATGAAGAGCCGTTTAGGAGCCGAAAGAACCGGCTCTTCTTAGTGAGCCGAGCCAAATGATCCGGCTCACTAAAAAGAGCCGGAACTCCCATCACTAATACGTAAAGAGATAGAATCTATAACTTAAGGGGCGACTCAATTCGGGGTGGACGCCCTCTCAGCCCTGGTCTGGCGGAAACACTGAAACCCACACTTTCCCACATCTTTTTGTTCTTGTGTCCTTCACTTTAACCAGACAGTATTCTAGCGTCTTCACTCTTAAATGTATGACTTTTATCTCGAAAATGGTGATCTTGTTTTTGGAATATTAGCCCCACTCTGTATTTTATTATTCACCTACATAGGCACTTACACACAGTCATGTTTAACTCCTTCCTCACAGTTTAACATACATTTGTTTTTGATAATGTGACAGGACGAAGGAGTATCAGCCGGGGGAGGATCTGAGGCAAACAGCCAATGAGCTCGTCGCAAAGGTCGACGACCCAAAGTTACAAAACTCTGAGGTGAGCGTCGTGTTCACGTCACTCACTGGACTCTTTAAATCCTCTATCACCATATCTATTCTCTTTTTCTGTAACACTTCTACAGAGTAGTTCCTAAGAAGCACATGCTAAGTTTCATTGTAGTTGTAAAGAAGCAAAGAAGCACATCAGTATGGATCTGATAATGGTAAAATGCCTTTTTTGTTGTCCTTTTTGTTGTGTAGTTCCTGCGTTTCATTAGGCAGATTGGAGAGGGCAGTGTGACAGTGGAGAACATGACAGACAAACAGCTGAGAGATAGAGCTCAGGCGGAGGAGGCTCAGAGCTGGGCCTCCCACCTCAACCAGGTACGAGGAGCAGAGGTGGGGGGGGGACTCATTCAACTCTGGGGAGGCTCTCTGCTTCACTTTTACACAGTTTAATCAGAAAAGTACACACATCCTTTACTCAAGTAGAAGTACAGATACTCGTGTCTGACTAAACTTCTTTACTCAAGTCAAAGTAAAGAGGCTTTGACTTCAGTAAAAAAGTACAGGTATTTGTAAATGTAACGCATATCAGACATGTAACAGTGAATACAGCAAATTAGGGTGAAGTGTCTTGCCCAAGGACACAAAGTTATGGGTACTTTTTACTTAAGTACATTTCAAAGCCCATACTTCTTTACTTTTACTTGAGTAAAGAAGTTTAGTCAGTACTTCTACTTTCACCAGAGTATTTTTAAACACGAGTATCTGTGCTTCTACTTGAGTAAAGGATGTGTGTACTTTTGCCATCTCTGGTGCTTTCTTAGACAAACTCAATTTCCCAACCGTAGGTCCAGATGTTTCAAAAGAACTTGATTCACCATTAACCTTAGACGAGATCACCCTCGCTATAAATAACATGCAAGATAAATAAGAACGGTGAGGAACATTTAAGACGACTTTATTGTCATTGCACAAAGAACAACGACATGCAGTTGAGGAACATGATTGAGCAAGTAACCAGCCTGTTTTGAAAACGTAAGAAGTAGAAAGTACAGGTATTTGTGTTAAAAAATTTACTGTACTGAAACCAGAACGATGTACTTAAGTACAGTAACGAAGTATTTGTACTCCACTACTTCCCACCTCTGAGTATAAGTGATGTGACTCATCAGAGGAACATTTTCCACCGATGTAACCAAAAGCAACCGCTGTAATATGAAGCTGCACAGCTCTGCAGATGGAAATTATTCAGCAAAAAGAGAACTACCCTTCTTGAGTTTTTAGCTTTTTAATGTGAACAATGTGTCCTCAGTTTAACTCGCGGTTTTAAATAATTACTTTGACTTCATTCAACTCAGGCTGATGCCAGAAAACTGCTTTATTTAACTAGACTCTCCCCCTAAAATCCAAAGAAGTCTCTTTCTGCCAGTTCGATATGAAAGACATACGTATACGTTGCAGTGCATCAAAAGGAGGACATAATGAATCCACGTCGTGAGATAATAAATCACAATTTCGCCTATTAAATCTAAATATTGACTTACTGTACCCTCGTTTATTTTACTGTGTTGATTTAGTTAATCGAAATGTTGACCCATAATTCACACATTTGACATTTGTTTTATAAAAAATGCCGCATTATAAGCCTGTTAAATATGAGTTTTCCACATAAGGAGCAGATTTGCAGCTTGAGCTTCAATGGAGTTGAGAAAAAAAAAAAATCTAAATTCTGTTTTTTTTATAGGGTATTTAAAACCACAAAGGCTTATACACTGGTGAAAGAAAAACAAAGCTACAGTACTGAATACTAACTGAGAGCAGTGGTAACAGACACTGTGTACTGGAAAATAGACTCACATGTTTGACCGTTAACTCGCTTAAGATCTTAAGATTTTACTTATTTGATATACAGCAATCTCAAATGTAATCCTGGCAGCAACGGGCGTCCTTATCACACTACATGTGTAGCTCTCAGCCCTGTTAATGATGAATATATGCTCACCATTGTAATTTCACTCTGACTCTGACATGTCCCTCTCCCATGTTTTTGGACCTGCCTTCAAACTCTCGGCTTGTCATTTCCTCAATTAACAACCTCCATTCATCTACTCCTTAATCCTTAAACTACCTGAAATGACTCCTAATCCGCCTACCCCTCCAAAAAAAAAACCTCCTCGAAACATCGCCCCATTTCCCTCTCCCCTCCCCTCCCCTCCTCCCTACCTCCATAGTTCCTGACGGAGACGGGGGGAGGGAGTCTCCCCCTGCAGCCTCCAGAGAGGGAGGAGAAGATTGAGAAAGTTAAAGCTAAACAAGCTCGGAAGTGGGCAAAGGTCGTCAGGCAGGTAGGACCCCTGAGGTCGATAGGTTTTATTAAGTCATAGCTGCAGATATTGCTATATTTAAGCTACTAGAGCTACGATAGAGTAAGATACACTCAGCAGTTACTATTTTGTAGCAGTTGTGTAATATTAAAGGTCCCTTATCATCCTCTTTTTCATCAATATATTATAGGTCTCAGATATATCCAGAACCTGTCTCCGATTGGCTGAAACACCAAACAGATCATTGCAGCATTACCCATAATCCCCTCTGTTTCAGCCCTGTTTCCAAAGTGCTGATTCTCTGTCTGTGACTTTAGATGAAAATAAGGAGCCCCTCCCCACGCCCCTCTGAGAGAGATTTGGTTACAAAGAACTCAATGGTGCTCTAGGAGGAGATTTAGGTGATAAGGGGGGGGGGGTTACCTTGGTTGCTGATTGGCTAATGGTTACACAAGACAACACATCGTTATGACATCATAAAGTGGCCAAAATCTGATCAGCTCATTTTCAGACAGGTTTTTATAGAAATGGATCAAAAAGAGAGAGAATCTTTGTTCCTGAAACCTTCAGTTGATGTAGAAGAGACATGAAAAAGTGGATTTTGCATAGTAGTTGACCTTTAAGTCATAGCTACAGATATTGCTATATTTAAGCTGTGCTACTAGAGCTAGCATAGAGTAAGATACACTCAGCAGTTATATTTGTTGTAGCTGTAATATTAAAATAATGAGAAGTTAATTTGGAAGAACTGTAATAGAGTTTGAGCTTTTTCTGTGTTTGTTCTTTCATCTCCTTTCCATTCCCTTCCCTCTATATATTCCCTGTTTTTAATATCTCCATTATTGGCTCTATTAACATTTGTATAGCCAGAATGTGCCGACTCGTGTTTACGTCTCTCATCGCTCTGTTCTGCTGCTCAGGTTTCACACGACTCGGCTGAAGCTTGGGTCGATGAGTTTGCTACTTCAGGGCCGGACTTCCAGCAAGCTAAAGCTGCAGTGGAGGTGAGACGAGAATAAAAGACCACTTAAAGGTCTCCTATTATGCTTTATTTAGGCATATATTATGGGTCTCGGATATATAAAAATCTATAAAAACATGTCTATGATGTGTTTTGCTCAAAATACCAAACAGATCATGTATTTTAGACAACCACTCCTATCCCTCTGTGTTTGCTGAAGTGCTGATTCAGGGTCCTTAGCTTGAAAAGAAAAGAAAAGGGGGCGGAGCTTGTGTTTTTTTACACATGTACTCTCTCCAGTACAGGTTAGCTCTGAGTGTTAGCGATGCTTGCGAATGTAAACAAAGACCATATTACGTCCAAAACACGTCGGGCATTGTTTCTGATAGTGCCGTGGGTCCATATTTCCGATATTACGTCATATCGGACGCAAATCTGCGTTATATCGAGCCCGATTGTCGATTTCAAATGATTTAATGTAATTGTTTGCCTGTCTGGCCATCGTAATCGGGCTCTTTGAAGATCCAAAAATCCACGGTTTTCTTACATTTCTGATCGGATTGGCAAAAACGTCAGAATTTGCATTGACCGCCATTCAAATGACAGCGTTGTTTTCCCCCAAAAGTGGGCAGGGCCGTAATTTTCGCCCGGAAGTGACGTAGGTGTTACTCTCATCTATAAGTGCAGTCCAAAGTGCTTCACAGTAGACATCTCACAGGACATTGATATCACACAGAATACAGATACCAGTAAAAGACATAAAAACAAACAAAAAATAGCATTGAGTAGACACATGTAAAAATACATTTAGGTTAAAGGTACAACGATGAAATTGTGCATTAAAAGGAGGATAGTGCAAATTCAACACACAGGTGACAGGTCAAAATGCATCGGAGTGCATTGAGAAAGTGCAGCAGAGAGTAGGAGCTTCTCTTTTGACTTGTTTACGCTTTGAAACCGCATCAATACACTATCGTCTGTCCTTTGAGAAAGTAAAGGTCGAGCAGGTCTATAGTCCAGGATGATGTATAATGTGAGGTGATCATGTGTCGTTCTGTCAGAGTGATGTGGATTTCTGGGAGAAGCTGCAGCAGGAGTGGGAGGAGATGGCCAAGAGAGACGCAGAGAGCCACCCCTGGCTGTCGGACTTCGATCAGCTGCTCAGCACCTCCTATGACAAGGTACCCGTCAGAAAAACATCAGGGCTATTTGAAAAGTGAAGAGGAGATGAGAGAGGTGCAGTGACGCGTCCTAAAACCAGGAAGTAAGCTGCGCATGGCTTCCCTCCACAAAAAAGCAATGAGATTTCTCCATAGGATTTTAAAAAAATAGCTCGAAATAAGATCTGTGGGAAACGTACCTGTCAGATAAATGCACGTTTTGTTCAGCCGGATAATATCCTCATGTCTACCCTACTTTTATCATTTTCGATTCATAAATCTATCGATTAGATTAGATTTATGATAGACTGTTGAAACTACAAGAACATAAGGAGGACTTTTACAAAAAAGTAATAGCGATTTTTGTCCAGAAGGATAGGCCAATGGACTTAATCTTCAAGTCAAGGTAAGACCGCAATTTTATTGAAGATGGGATCTTACTAAGAGAGAACAACTCAATATTTAAATGATAAAACTAAATTTTTTGGGTATCCTTCTGTTGAACTGTCTGTTTAAAATGAATCGAAGCATCAGACAAAAAAAGCTTTTGAAAATAATAGAATATTTTGATTTAGGTCAAAATATAATATAATATATGGTGGAGAAGATAGAAAATAGTTTTTTGGGATTGGAATAGGAAGATTGGATCTTATCTTGAAAGAAAGTGCTTTTTGCCTGAGAGATCGAAGCAGAGAAAGAGGAGAGGAGAGCCTGATGGGTTAGGAGGTCGTCACGGTGTTTGGATTTCCACCGTTTCCGCTCTGCTGCCCGAAGGATGGTTCTATTAGCATGCAGTGCGTCATTTAGCCAGGGAGTAGGAGGGGACTGACGAGCCTGCCGAGATGTGAGAGGACAGAGAGAGTCCAGAGTGGATGAGAGAGTAGAGAGGAGAGTTTCTGCAGCAGAGTTTGGAGGCAGGAGTTGAAACGAGTCAGATGAAGGGAGGGCTGAGAGCACCGATGAGGCAAAGGTAGAGGGAGAGAGGGAGCGAAGGTTACGGCGGACAGGTGCAGGATGAGAAGAGATTAGTTTGTTATGTTTGGAAAGGGATAGAGAGAATGAAATGAAGAAGTGATCAGATGTGTGGAGCGGGTTTACAGAGAGGTTAGAAGTAGCGCAGTTCCTTGAGAATATGAGATCAAGGACATTGCCAGCTTTATGAGTCGGTGAGGACGGAGACAGTGAGAAAGCAAAGGCGGTTAACAGAGATGTTAGTTTGTCTATCTTCCCCGTCTGGAGGTTGAAGTCTCCGAGAAGTACAGCGGGAGGGCCAGTTTCAGGGATTAGTGAGAGGAGATTATCTAATTCCTCCAAGAAGTCCCCCAAGGCGCCTGGTGGACGGTAGAGAACAACAATGGTTAACTGTATAGGATGGGTTACTGTGACGGCATGGAATTCAAAGGTGGAAGGAGTGAAGATAGGTAGCTTGAAGAGGGAAAAGCTCCATTTGGGAGAGAGCAGGAGACCAGTGCCACCTCCTCTTCTCAAACGTTTCACTCCGTAGTTTCAGTGCACATGTCAACTTTTCCATTACACATGAATCACGTCCATCCACTCTCCCTCTGTCGGAACCCGTTGGCTCATCCACTTCCTCGTTATAGATTTAAAATGTAAAAAATAGTATTGTTTTGGAGCATTTATTGATGAAACATTCTTGGAAAGGCAGGCATTGTCATAAAACAAGGACCATTTTTTTACCATATAATTGTGGACCTAAGTCCAAAGAGGGATTCTGTGACTGCTTTTCATTTTGCAGCCCCACAAAATATGTGATTGCTTTGTGCATCTGATCTCTGGTAAATAATATCCTACTTTTTGTGAGCTGAAAGTTGGCCCTTTACGTCGTTTTTTGGTATATTTAATGTAAATCATTTTCTATATCTTAATGTTAGAATCAGAAACAGGTTTATTACCAGGTTGACACGTACGATGACTTTGACTTGATGTCGTGGTGCATACATAAAAGTAGAACAACAATAAAATAAATACACAGAACTATTTTAAGAAAACTATAATAACATTAAAAAATAAGAAAAAATATAGTAAAATATAAAATAAAGCCGTAATTACATTGAAATAGAATGGAATCAAAATATGTGCAGTAAAAAAAATGATATTGTGTGCATTAATGTAAGAGGTTTGTTTTTAATAGTTTTTCATAATTTGGTTGCTTTTCTTACCTTTTATCTTTTTTAACTGTGTTCATGTTTGCACCAAATACACCAACGCAAGTTCCTCGCATGTGTGTAAACCTAACTGGCAATAAAACTGATTCTGATGTGACCGATAGTCCACAGATTATTTACAGTTTATGTTTCTACTCTTCTTCATGTGCATTGGCTTGTTTTCATGCTGTGTCGATAAAAAAATCGCTGATGGGGATCACTAAAGTAGATCCAATCTAATCTGTTCTCCATGTTTTCTTTCTTTGTCCCAGGGGTATCAGTTTGAAGAGGAGAACCCGTACTTGTCCCACCCGGACCCTCTGTCCGAGGGGGTGAAGAGGATGGAGGCGGGGGATATCCCCGGTGCCGTGCGGTTCTTTGAGAGCGCCGTGCAGAAAGAACCAGACAACCAGCTGGTGAGACTCCTACCGCCTTTCAGTGACTTTATTATTCATTTATTTAATCGTTTATTTCCCAGGGACAATGCACGGTAATGAACACTTAAAACATTCAAATGTGTCAAGCGTAACAGATTTAGCTTTGAGCTCATTTCCATCCGCAGTCCCTCACATAAAACATTTAAGAAGTTTACATGTTACAAACATTGTAAAAAGAAAATACATGATATACAAAAAGTGCAAAAGAGCCTGAGCAGCACACAAGCATTAACCACATGGCAGTACACTATAGCAGCAACGACATATAAAGTGCAAGAGAAGATACAAGAGCTACCTAAAGTGCAGGAGGAGATGCCCCTGTGTTAAAGTGCATTTAGCGGTGATTGCATGTCTGTTTGTTTCTCAACCATTCTTTGGGTTGACTTCTAAAGCTATTGAGAGTGGGACGATCCCGTATCTGAGTTGGGAGTCTATTCCACAAAGAGCTGCCTTTAACGGAGAGGACATTTTGTCCAAAAGCGGTCCGTCTGCGGTGGACTTCACAGTCTCCTCTGGTTTCTGACCTAGTGCAGCGTCCAGTGTGTTTTCTGTGGATGAATTCCCCTAAGGGAGGGGGGGGCAGTCCATGTAAACATTTATAAATAAAGCACATACTTTTAAAAGACTTAAAATTGTCAAAACTCAAGACACTTTGTTTCTCTAGGATGGTACAGTGGTGGTATGAATGTGGCTTTCTGTCGAACACCTGGATAGCTCTCTTAGCTGTTCTATGGGTTTCAGGTTTGTGGCACAAGCAAACGACCAGTTTGTCAAACAGTATTCAATGTGGGATAGAATCACACAGTGGAGGTCTGACTTTGCAGCATTGACAGTTAAGAAAGGTCTCATTTGTTTAACATTTTGCAAGTTGAATTTAATGGTATTGGATACTTTCTTACGTTTCTTAAAAGTCAAGTTCGAGTCCATTATGACTCCAAGATACTTGAAGTGGGGGCTAGTTCTATTTCTGCTCCGTTTAAAAACACAATAGATCCTTCGATTATCATAAATCTTACTATTCTTTGATTACCCTCTAATTGAGTGATTTTCCTCATTTAGATCTGAATGTATACTTAAACTCTAATGTCTATATTGCACATATAAACATTTTTACATATTTATTTTTGTATATACAGTATATTGTAGTACTAGGTGTACATTTTCGCCTGACTTATTATAATAATATAAACATTTAATTATATTCTATTATTTATTATAAACTATTTTACCATAACATCTTATATTTATTCTATTTTATTTCATTTTTATTGTTTTTTATTTTATACTGTCACAAAAACCGAATTCCCCCCACGATAAATCAAGTATTCTGATGATTACCACGTGTAAAAACCGTCTAAAGTGTCTCCTAACTTTCCTCGTGTCTGTCTCCTCACAGAGGGCAGGTGTATTGATGATGTGTTGTTTGTATATTTATTGTCATTAAATCCAGGCTTGGCAGTATCTGGGATCCTGTCAGGCTGAGAACGAGCAGGAGTTCGCCGCCATCAGCGCCCTCCGCAGGTCAGACGTCAAAATGCAAAATGCTTCAAAATGTTTAAACCATAGACGGGATATAAAAAGGTTCACACCCTCACACACAAACCTGTATAAGTCATCATTTGTACCAACTGATGATGAAAGTTATTACACAATAAGTCTGTAACATAATATTAAAGATTTTATTAGATTTTGTTCCTGTTGGCACCACTTAATCGACATTTTTAACTTTTCCTTTCTCATTGTTTTCCCCTTCTCTCTCTTCAGATGTATAGAGCTGCAGAACGATAACCTGACGGCTCTCATGGCGCTGGCGGTCAGTTTCACCAACGAGTCGCTGCACAGGCAGGCCTGTGAGACGCTCCGTGATTGGCTGAAGCACAACCCGAAGTACCACTCAGTGTGGGAGCAGAGCGAGAGCCAGAGGCAGGAGGGAGCGAGTGAGAGGGAGAAGGAGAGGGAGAGGTTCGGATCCCTGCTGCCAGAGTGAGTCACACACTTTATTCTGACTGGTTTCAGGGGTAAAACTTGCACGAACTTGAAACACAAGGTAGTAGGACTCAAATGCACGACTCCAGGAAGCAGAGTTAAAGTATAAGAAAAATACTTTATTTAAGGAAGTGGGAGACGAGAGAAAAATGACTTAACGAAACATGACTAACAATTAACATGGAGCATGATGAGACCAAAAAGAAACATGACAAGACACAACAAAAACTCAACCTGCAGATCCAGTCAAATCTTTGTCATATATTGTATTAAGAGGAATGTGTGACATATTGTAGGGCTGTACCCGAATATCCGAATATTCGTTCCTTGGAGTACTATTCGGGTTTCAATTTCGTTATTCGGATATTCGTTTTTTTTAATTTATTGAAATCTCCAATATCAACGTAAGAGCTTGTGCCTCTTCGGGGGTGCTAACACTTAACCATAAACGTTATCGTTTACTTTCTCCGTCTTTATATGTAGATATTACTTTTCTCCGTTAATCTCCGTCACGTTGTTTCCATAGCAACAACAACTTCCTGTCAACAGTGCTAACTCTCCTTCAAAATAAAAGCATGTCCATACAAATAGGAAGCCAAGCCAAATTACACTTAAGACATACAACTGCAACAAAAGTAACACACACAATGCGATATCCTTTTCAATTTCAAAGAACACAAATTGGGTTACATTAACAAATAACTATAAAACAACAATACTGTAGAATAACAAAAAGAATGCCGTGAATAAACCGAATTACACGCGTCGAAGCGGTTCGCTGCTGATTACTACGCACACACACTAGGAGACCCGCGCGGAACGAATATCCGGAGCCGGAAAAATGGTATTCGGGACAGCCCTGACATATTGACATTACAATTTCTTCTAAATGACTATTCTTTAGCTACACATTTAATTGATTTGTCTTCTAACTGTATCAGCCTTACTTTACCAAATGTTTCCCACAATCTCAAAATAAAGCTGGAGAAGTAATCCACTCTAGTCAACATTAACGCCCTTTTCCCCTGTACTGGCTTTGAATCACCTTTGTGCATACGTCAGCGCTTGGTTGCTGCTTCAAAGTGCCACCGACACTCTGTCTTCTTTAAGGTTTAGATTTAGAGACCTCTAGTGGCCGAACATTTGATATATAGTGTGTTAACGTTTTCTAACTCTTTGCATTTTTCCTTCTGTTTTTCCCGCACAGATCCCTGTTTGCAGACGTCCAGTCGCTCTTCCTGCACGCAGCGAACTCCGACCCGGCTCAGGTTGACCCGCAGCTGCAGTGTGGACTCGGAGTCCTCTTCAACCTCAGCGGGGAGTACGATAAGGCGGTGGACTGTTTCAGCGCCGCTCTCTCTGTCACCCCACAGGTCAGTGAAGAAGCCGGAGCTGAGATCCTAACGTCGGTCCTCGTTAGGATTGGTTACTGATTACATGAACAACCAGCAACCCGGGTTCGGTTTGTTTCTAATAGCTGCTTCTTGTATAACAAAGAAGAACAGATTGTTATTGCATATTTCTAATGCCAGCACGCAAATATAACCAGTGGTGTAGTGGGGATCTTTGAAAAAATCTGAAAGCAGTCCGTTATTTTGACAGATTAGAACAAACTCGGACAAAGTTTCCCCGCTGCGAGGCTCCGGTGTTATGCATGCCCTCCAAAAAGGAAATTATACCGTTTTCCAAAATGACGGGCAGCGAAAAGGTCTAGCGCAACCTCTGCCTGTCAGCGCAACTTACATGATGCCGTTTTAAAAAATATAATAATAAAGGGCGGTGCCGGCCGTCAGCGAACCGAGCCGGCCCTTCTGCGCGACTGTCACTCAAATGCGGGACATAGTCTCAATTTGTGGGACGCGGGACAAATGATAAAAATGCTGTGTGGTCACCCTAGACACACACACACACGGTGCTGCCCCTCACACACACACACACGCTTCAAATCAAGTTGCATAAATACTTGAGCTACGTTTTTATTATAATTACTGTGAAATGTATTATGTTTTCGTCATTATTACAACTAATACACACTTGCAACTGATAACACTGGCAATGATTTTATATTTATAAAACATGCCTCAAAAAAGTGGGGGCTCCAAATAAGTGGGGGGACGGCGATCCCCCGCATCCAACACCACTGAATATAACGAGATGCAGTTATTTTACAAGTTGAATTGTGAACATAAATATAGATTTAAGAAGAGATTTTCATAAATAGGTTGTTTGTTTTTTGATCTGTTTGGACCGCATCAAAGAACCGATAAGAACCGAAATTGATAAGCAATATGAAAATCCTAACCTGAATGATTAAGATCCATACCCTACCCTTGACCTCATGCTGCATGCTCTGCCTGTTTCTGACCTCTCTTTTTGTCTCCTTTAGGACTACCTGTTGTGGAATAAGTTGGGCGCCACGCTGGCTAACGGCAGCCGCTCAGAGGAAGCTGTGGCCGCCTACAGGAGAGCTCTGGAGCTGCAGCCAGGGTTCATCCGCAGTCGATACAACCTGGGAATCAGCTGCGTCAACCTGGGGGCACACAGGTGAGGGAGGAAGGCTCTGGGTTGTAGATAATAATGATAATAATAATACATTTGATTTATATAGCGCTTTTCCTGGTGCTCAAAGCACTATACAAGCAAGTAAAGTAGAAAAATAACAAACAAAAGTAAAAAAGTGCTAAACTAGGTGGAACAAGGGCGAGGGGTTAGTGGATAAGGAGTCGAAGGCAAGAGTGAAACGGTGAGTTTTGATGCGTATTTTGCTCCAAAAAGGGTTAATTTAACCAAAAATGTGTCTGTTTTTAGCTTTAAAAAGTAGATTCATTCATTTAACTGCTTAGTCAGAATCAGAAACAGGTTTATTACCAGGTAGGTTGGCACGTACGAGGAATTTGACTTGATGTCGTTGTGCATACATAAAAGTATAATTAAAAAGAAAAAAAACACAGATAGAGAACTATTTTAAGAAAACTATAATAATATTAAAAAATATTATAAATAATAAAAAAATAGAGTAAAATATAGCAGTATTTACATAGAAATAGAATGGAATAAAATATGGAATACAATTCGGCAGTAATACAAAAAGAGAAATCAGTAGTAGTATAGTGTTACATTAAACTGAATCCATGAATGATTTACACTCCTTTCAGACTACAAAAGAACATTTGGTGAAGCTATAACTATTCTCTACTGTGGTATGAAGTGTGGGAATCCTTTTCTCTAATGATTATACAAGTACAAGGTGAAAACTAAAACGAAATGTAATCCAAACATGAGTTGATGTCCGGCAGTGGCTCAGTCAGTAGGGGACTGTGAGCCGTAGGGTCGCCGGTTCAAGTCCCCGACCAGGCCTGAATATGGAGTGTGGACTGCTACTTGGAGAGGTCCCAGTTCACCTCCTGCCCTGCCGTGGTGCCCTTGAGCAAGGCACCGGACATCCCCCCTCCCCCCCCCCACTCCCATTGCTCCCCGGGCGCTGTACAATAGCTGCCCACTGCCCCTAGTACTAGACTCCTGGTACTAGGATGGGTTAAAAGCAGAGAACACATGTCACTGTGTGCCGTGTGCTCTGTATGTGAGACCATTAAAGAGGGTTTCATCCCTCCAATTCTATTCTATATTAATCTTTGATAGGAACATTAAATATGTCCAATGTAAGCTGTCGGACTAAAGATTTGACGTGGGTTTCATTATTTGATAAAAGACAGTTTCTGTGTAGCGCCAGTGTTAGAAAAAATGGTTGAACAAAATCACTTTCCTCTACTAGGTTAGTTTTAAATGTATTGCCATCAAGTGTCTCTGTGTGACTTTTGATTTGATTTGATTGGGCTCTCTTGTTCTATCTGTTATAATATTGCGTGACAAACCCTGGTGCAATCCTTTTAATGTCACTACATGGCAACAGCTAAAATAACCAGTCGCCACTTTATTAGGTAGTGAAAAACAACACAGTTTAATACATCGGATAAGTCAAGGTTTGACTTTATGATCATTTCGCAGGCTGCACTTTAAGGCCGGTGTTTATATATACCAGATCCTCCTTAGCAATGGTGATGTAATAAGATAAGATGGAGCTTTATTTATCCCTGTGGGGAAATGAATGCGTTTATAACAGCAACAGGGTCAGAGTGAAAAAACTGGATTCAAATAAGTCAAATATAAAGATCAAATACAAAACTAATAATACAGAAATTAAAGAAATAAAGTAACTGTTGAAACAGATATCACGGCAATGCTTATTAGTGGTGTGTTATTGTGTTAAACACCTGAACTTTTGAAAGGACATTCATCTGTCTGCAAATTACAAATTATTTATCCAATATATCATATTCCAATGTCTTATAGACTCTCCTTGCACTATTTCTATTTGATTTGTATTGATTTTGCACTATTTTATCTGTGTGATTGTGTTGCACTGTTGGAGGAGCCTGTGACCTAAGGTTTTCATTGCTATCTCTATATCAATGAAAATCTTAGGTCACAGGCTCCTCGAAGTGAGGAGTCCCGCCCATCTACTTCCGACCCATGGGACCTTATTTCGGAAAAAGTATGTATTGAAGTCAATGGAGAGAGAAATATTATCTTTCGATCCCGTTTGAATTGTGCCACGAATTACACATATGATGTTTGTCAATCTTAAAAGATCACAGTTTGTCGTAAAACTGTTGAAATATAAGACTATGAAAAATACGCAACTAGAAAGACTACAAATCCCAGAATCCCGGTCCCGCATGCTGGCTCTCACGGAACCGACTAACTCCCCTTGTGTGTATGCACAGCTCTCAACGTGCCCAGACTTGGAGTGATTTTCTCCTCTTTTAATACTTTCCGCCTCATTCTGAAAGAAAGAAGTGAAATGTTTCAACGTGACGGCCGTCTTGGTGTGTGGTGCGAGACGGGAGATGTAGTTCATTGAGCGGTTTCACACCAAAAAAAGTGTCACTTCACAGTTTTACGACACATTTAAAAAAAAAATAACTTGCAAAATTATCTTTTAAATTGACAAACATCATGTGTGTAATTCGTGGCACAATTCAAACGGGATCGAAAGATAATCTTTCTCTCTCCATTGACTTCAATACATACTTTGTCCGTAATAAGGTCCCGTGGAGGCCCACCGGAAAGGGAGGGACTTCGCCTCTCTATTATCAGAAACTACAGTAACAGTAGCCGTTACTCATCCTCTCCTGCTGTCTCCCTCCTGTTTCCTCAGAGAGGCGGTGGAGCACTTCCTGGAGGCTCTGTCTCTGCAGCGCCAGGCCTCAGTGGATGGAGCGAGGGCAGCGCGGGGTCCCGGGGGCGCCGCCGCCACCATGATGTCCGACAACATCTGGTCCACGCTGCGCATGGCGCTCAGCATGATGGGAGAGAGCCCTCTGTACGCTGCCGCCGACCGACGAGACTTAGACACGTTGCTGGCTCACTTCTACCAGAGGGAGGTGGAGGGGGGGACAGAATGAAGCCACATCGAGTGTGAGTGCATCTCGCTGGGAGGGAAATGTCTGGGAGACTGAATGAAGAGCAGAGGAGCGGTGACAGAGAGATGGACGAGGAAGACACTGTGAATCATCCTGGACAGTCGTGGTTTCATTTGCTCTTAAATGGCTTCAAAAACATTGCAGTATTAGTCTGGAAGACACAGCCAGATGAACTACAAACTGTTAAACATGTTGGACCGTCCGCACATTTCCTCTGACTCTGTTGATCCGAAGAAATGGGTTTGATTTAATGTCACTTTTGTTGTTAATTTGAATTGTGTTCTCAATGAAGAAAGAAAATCACGAGCGCTGCAGGAAGGAGACATAAAACATCCGACATGAGTTGCTTTGCTCTTCCTTCTCTTGAAGTCAATGTTTCGTTGAAAAGGCTTTTGGTTTTCATGGCTGAAATATGGTCTGTGGTTAACACAAGCTTAAGAGGTGTTCTCATGTTGTGCTATGACGTAAAACAAGTCGGTAATACCCCACTTTGAAGCTTTAACATGTCCTAAAAAAAGGCGATTGCTAACAAGGGGCTGAATGTAACTACAGAGGCTGCTTTGGACATGAAACATCTTCACATGAAACATCTTCACATGAAACATCTTCACATTAAACATCTTCACATTAAACATCTTCACATTAAACTTCTTCACATGAAACTTCTTCACATGAAACATCTTCACACCAAACATCGGACGACCCAGCTAGTCTTTGGAATCATGTGACTGTGGTGTAGTTTTGTTTTTATCCTAACATTGGCTTTTTACTTCAACTGATTGCATTCACACTTCAAAAAGTGTCCAAATCTCAAAAACCTTTCTTTGCCATAGAGCTTATGTTCAAATCCCATTGAGTTGTTGTTGTTGTTGTTGTTGTTGACACAGTGCGATGCTAACCTTATGCTACGTCATTCCTGCAGCACTCTGTGTGTCCGGTAGTGTTCATCAGGACTCTCGATGCTCTCTCCCTCCACAGTAGGCTGTAGATCGAACTGTAAACTCTACAGTTTTGTAATTAAATGTACAATGTTGCTGTGACATCAAAAAGAGTACTGCTTTTTTTTTAACAAAAGTGCTCCCAAGAGAAGGAATAGGCTCAGAGTTCAAACACTAATCAGATGCTGCAGCGGCTTGTTTGTCTTTCTTCTTTTGTATTTTATTTAATTTTGTTATCAATTATCAACCAGGATATCGAACTGACAACCAGCGGGACTGTTATGATTGTATGTGTGAGAGAATGTGTGTGTGTGTGTGTGTGTGTATTAATCGTGCATCTGATGATACGGTCATGTAATTGTAATATCATTGAGAACGGTTTCTCTGGGCTCCTCCCTTCTCTTGCTCTTTTTCATAACGCTCTTGTAAAACAATTTGCTTCGTTGTAAGATAATGCTCTCTGCCATATTGTGTGTTGTAACATAATTGTTGCACTATAATTGTGTTCAGGCAAGTTGTATCCTGACTGCAATGTTTAATATAATATTCAGCAATAAAGCTTTGGTTCCCAGACGTTTGTAGATTATTTATTTCTGGGTCAATGAACAAAATGGCGGACAATAAAAGTATGGAGAGCTGGAAAAAAGTAAATAATAACATTAATCATTGTTTTATGGTATATATAGTGACATAAATAAAACACATTTTATGTTTTAAGTTAAATATGTTTTGATAGTCATTCTTGGGTTTAATTAAACAGATTTACTTTTGTTCATTTTTTAAATATATATATTTTTCGAAATAATAGTACAAAGTGTATTTATATACAAATAAAATTTAAAAAATAGATATACATATGTGTAAAGTATTGTGTCTTTGATTTCCCTTATAAAAGTATCACTTTTCCTGTCGAGGTGCATTTGTTCAGGAGTGACTTCTCATTTTCTCTCGCCACGTGACAAAAACAAAGCTTGCATTTTTTTCAAATTTCAAATGCGTTATCTGTAGGAGACCACGCCCCGTTCTAGAACGCTGCTCTTAGCGAATCAGCGCTGCGGACGTGAGGGCACGCTACCGCTGATTGGTCCGTTTGAAAATAACGTGCACGCAGCCGCTCCATTTAACTGTTTTAAAAGCCCTGTGTTTCCTCCGCCTGTTATCATTCTCTACTGTGGAATAAGTGAAAGCAACACGTCTGATCGACTTTCTTCCTCTCTTTTAAGGTAAGCCAGATAAAATATGTAATACTGTATACCTCGGTTGAAGTAAGAGAAAGTATATGCAATGTATTCAACTCGGGTTACTACCACAACATTAACATTTTAAAGTTAATATCCGATTTAGATGCGGAAACTTCAAGCTAACTGACTTTAGCTAAGCTAGCCTGTTTATTTGCTAGCAAGTTCTTTAATTTTCAGCTAACGGCTTGATGATATATAAAGGGTTTCAATTGTTACATTGAAGTAGTAATGCACGCATGTAAACGAGATATTTAAAGTTAAAAACGATGTGATGTATTGCTGACTGTACGTCTAGGTTAAATCAAGGTTAACGTTAAATAATAGTCAGTAGGGCAGAGTACTACCCTACTGTTTTTCTGTACTATTTGCTCTTTTTATTTTTGCTCTGGTAGACAATTAAACTGTATTCTGTCCCATTAACTTGATCCAGATAACACTAAGCATCATGGGATCCAGTGAGAGCAAGATGGTGGTTTGTGCACCAATAAAACCAGAACCAGCGATCAAAAACAGCCGAGTCACTGATCTGATGGACCCACGCTCTCCAACAGCCCTCGATCGTACCCCCATCCAGGTAGGTTACCAGACATACTGTGATCTACTGCAGGGAGAAACATTTAAACACAGGTTAACCATAGCTAATGTTTCTCCTAGGTTGCTGTGTCCAAAACCGAGTGTCCACTGGCGTTCACAGACCCCCGCTCACCGTCTATCGAGATCAGCCGCACCCCCGCCAGAGAAGTCATGAGCGGTAAGAATATATTTACTAATATCCTCCCTTAAGTTCAAGGCTTTTATTGTCATTTGTATGACAATGACAATCTTAGGTCACAGGCTCCCCCAACAGTAACACAATAAAACAGATAACAAACATTTTGTTAGCTGTAAGTTGGCCCTTCATAGTGTATAGCTGACAAAGTCTACAGGTTTGTGTCTTTCACTGTCAATATGTATATTTTCAAGTTTTATTTATACTTTATTTGTTCGTTTTCTGTTCTATCATTTCCACATTGCTTTGTTTTAATGTTACTGTGATGAAAAATCCCCAAATCAGGATAAATTAAGTAAATCTTCCAGCTTGGCTTTTCCCACGTGCAAATTGTCCTATTATGTATTTATATTTCAACAAGGACCATGCATACAAATACATTAATCTCAGAGAAGAGAAAATATGAATTATGCCAGATTATAGCTAATAGCTCATTTCCATCTGCAGTCCTGTAATTTATCGTTCCTTAATTTCCCCCAACAGCCACAGGGTCCTTCGCCCGCCGCCTGGGCTTGCTTTTGCACGACGAGTCCGAGGGCAAAGTCCCTGAAGCGCCTCCCAAATGCTTCAATTATGCCGTGGAGGAGGAGAGTTTTAAGGGTGAAGAGGAGCTGGCGTCCACCGTGCCCCTCCTGTCACACCAGCCCTCACACACCTACGACTCTCTGGCTGAACACGCTAACCTCCTGGTGACCCCCCTCCAGAGTGAGGGTGACCTGAGCCCCTTTGTGCTCCTGCAGAACCCCCAGGAGGGCGTGGAGCTGGAAACAGAGACGGACCTTAGCCTGGAGGAGGCAGAGGAAGCCAGAGAGACTCCGCTTCACAAGAGGCTGAGCATGAGCCTGATCACCTACCATGAGGGGGAAACAGCCGCCCAGATCTTCGCTGACGTGCACTGTGACGGGGCTTCATCTCCAAGGATGAGTGTGGACGTGGAGAGCCTCGAGGACAACGTTGATCATACCTACGACCTTCCTACAATCACTGTTGAACCAGAGACCCCCGTCGAGCCCTCATTCGCCGCTGATTCAGAGGCTTCTGCAGCACAGGAGACAGAGGAGACAGAAGCCAAAGCTCAGGAGACAGAAGCCAAAGCTCAGGAGACAGAGGAGACAGAAGCCAAAGCTCAGGAGACAGAGGAGACAGAAGCCAAAGCTCAGGAGACAGAGGAGACAGAAACCAAAGCTCAGGAGACAGAGGAGACAGAAACCAAAGCTCAGGAGACAGAGGAGACAGAAACCAAAGCTCAGGAGACAGAGGAGACAGAAACCAAAGCTGAGGAGACAGAAACCAAAGCTCCTGTGGAAGAATCGTCATCTTCCCCTCCTGCACCAGAGCCCCCGAGCGTCACCAGATCAGGCATCCGCTGCCCCAGCTTCGACGCCAAGAGCCCCAGTCAGGTGGTGTTCAAGCCCCAGTGGTTGGGAAAAGGATTCGGGGCAACCGGGATAAGAGCTCGGAGAGTTCACAGCGGGAAGGGGGGCTCCTCTCCTCTCGCTGTGCGGGTCGCCGTGAAGAACGCTAACAGCGAGAACAAGAGGCTGCCCGGGAAACTGACGCAGAAAGGTGTGTGGAGACTCGTTCTGTTTATCACTTGTACTGCAAGGAATATTATATTTATTTGCTTGACATTTCCATTTTGTTTGAAAGGTACTGAAGGCCGCTCCCCGCTGCAGATCCTCAAGGGAGCAAACTCTCCAAGTGAACAACGATCTCAGGTATTTCATTTACTCACTTGAGTGGAGAAAAGTACGTTTACTTACTGCACTTAAAGGTGGGGGAGGTAAGTTTGAGGAACCGGCTCGAGATACACTTGTTGTTATATTCCATGGAATGCTCTTAACATCCCGATGGCAATGAATATCTGAAGCGCTTCGACAAAAAATCCATTAAAAAATGCATCTGTGGAAGCCGTAGTACTGTAAAAAGCACGACCAATCATCTGAGCCGGCCCGGCTAAAGTAACTGGATGGCCTACCTGCCTGTCAGCCTTCCATCTGGGCACAAACTTATCTCGTGCCCTCATTGGTCATGTGCGCGTTCGTGTGTGTTGGAGGAGGGGCTCTGTGAGGAAGTGGCAGATTTCTTCCGGCTGTGTATTTTCAAATTCTAGCCACTCGAGCTGGTTTCTCCAAAATCACCTACCCCACCTTTAAGTAGAGTTTCAAGGCGCTTGAACTTCACTTGAGTATTTATTTTTGATGCTACGTTATACTACTCCACTATAATTAAAAAAGGCAATACAAGTTTGTTTATTTTATTATTATTATTCAACGCAAGGCAATTCAAAGTGCTTTATTAAAATTATTAAGATTCAGTGCGTTATAACATTTCATTTAAATACATTTCAACATGTAATTGTGTATTATTATAGGTCAAGCTTGCTGGCAGTAAATAAAATGCTGCCTTTTTACCAAGTGCAGCATTGAAATGAATAAAAACATAAATGCATCGATTATTATAATACAATTATCTGATTCTGAAATGGGCGGTTCTGCGTGATTTTATATGTTGCTGCTATTTTTACCCGAGTATTTTAAATGTGTAGCTTGCCACTTTTGATTAAAAGTAAAATATCTGCGTACTCCTTCCACCTTTGCAGTTCTTACTCTCCTTTTTAAAAAGTGTTATCTGAACTTATATTGACTTTTTAGGCTGATGGTGATTAATTTAGCTGTCGTTACTGCAGCACAGAGTAAATCCGAGATAACGTGTCCCCGCTCCCTCAGATGAAGCTGAAGGTGTCCACTCCTGATAAGCCCCGGCTGGGAGCGCTGGACCGCGGAGCGCTGGCCGTGTCTCTGGATAAGGAGAACCGATGATTCACTGCGAGACGTGGACAGAATCCTCTTTTTAAAACAAGCTTTTTTTTATGTGCACAGCTTTCTTAAACTTTCCCCTTGTGTATATTACTTTTTACTACGGCAGCTTTGTTTCCGGTTTGTCCTCTTGTAAATAAAAATACAATTATTTCTCTTCTTACCGAAGTTTTAAATCTTTGTATTTTTCGTCAACAATTTTACATGTTTTCATGTTTATCTAAACATTCAATAAACTTCCTCGTAAAAATGACCCAACTCTTGGTTTTGACCCCATTGTTTTGCCTCTTCGTCTCTATCAATAACATTTGTAATAAAGCTTCATTCATGAAAACTACAGGGGCATGTCAATTAAATATTACATCACTCACAGATTTGAATAAAAAAACAATATTTAATTCGGTAAACGTAGAAATACTTCAGTGTGTAAGTAAAATATCTGCATTTACATCTTATAAAGTACACAAGTATTGGCATCAAAATATAACCAATTGTATGTGCTAAAAGTACTTATTGTGCCGCATGTCTCTTCAGAATAATAATATATTACAAATTGTTTTTTTTGGAATAAAAGCTGAAAAAAGTGGTGTTTACTTTGAATTGCATACTTCTGCTAGACATTTTAACCATACTTAGTTTCTTAGTTTATTTATATTTTGTAATCTGAAGTATCTAACTCATTTAGTTTGGAGTAAACAGCACAATATTGGCTTTCAAAGTGTAGTGGATTAGAAGTACAGTAAGGAGAAGCATGCAATAAAAAATACAGTACAAGTACCCCAACATCGTTCTTAAAGGTCACCTATCCTGCGACTTATAGGCAATAGCATCGGTCTCAAATATATTAAACATTAAAAATATATAGAAAACATGTCTGAAGTGTTTTGCTCCAAATACCAAACAGCTCACCCATTCTAGCCATGCCTCATATCCCTCTGTTTCACTTCCTGTTTCAAAAGTGCTGATTTGGGAATAAAGCTTTAAAATAAAAAGTAGGGGTCTGAGTTCATGCGGGACCCGGCAGCTACTGTCTAAACTAAATGCTGCCGTGATGAAACTCCATATCATGGATTATCAAGGATTCTCTCTGAAACAGTATGGAGCTCAAAGGCTTTCTCTCTTGCCGGTTATACCACAAGGTGAGTTCCTTTTTACTTCCTGCTTCTTCACACACATGCTCTCCAGTACAGGTTAGCTCTGAGTGTTAGCGATGCTAATGTAAACACCGACCATATTACGTCCAAAACAGTCGGGCATTGTTTCTGATAGCAACGTTTCTGATTGGGCCGTGGGTCCACATTTCAGATATTACGTCATATCGGACGCAAATCTGGATCAGCTCCGTTGTTCCCCCGTTTTTAGAGATTTGGGTACGGAGGAAAAGAGAGAGGGTTTTATTTTCTGATGCTGCGTGAGTTCCCCGACACACCGGGGACACATTTTTATGAAAGACATCACAAAGTGCATTTTGCATGATAGGTCCCCTTTAAATTAAATACTTGAGTAAATGTACTTTCTACATACATAAAACAAAACAATCCAGACACAGTCCAATTATAATTTCCGACACAAAGATTCTAATTGATCTGTGTCTCTGGGTAATGTGAACTAATAACTAACAGAAGACAGCGATAAGAAAATAACCAGAAGACGTGAGTAATGCAGAATCCCATGTTTATTAGACAGTCATTAAGAAAGGTAGTATTGCATTACTTTATCGTGTATCCAGCGTTGGAAAAGAGGCGGTCGGACCGTGGATATTTTTTCTGTTTGTACATCGTTGAAGTACGTTGAACCACGCAGAGGAAAAAGTAAGCGTTCACATACAGATTTATTTCTCACACAATAGCCTTCACCATCCACTCATACGCAAAGTCCTCCTGGCCTGAGACAAACGGGGTCATCTTTTTTTTTCTTCTAAGTGCTTAGTGAACCGTGAAAACATGTCATTATCCCAAAGCACTTTTCAGGTCTAGCTACAAGGGGAGGGGGGTTAGGTCTAAGTGATAAAGACCTCAAATCCTGGTAAATATTGTCACTCAATCACATACAAAACAACTCAAACACTACTGCAAACTAGAGTTTTAATTAAAGTAAGAAAAAGGAAGTAAATGTAAGCATCTAGGGGGAAAACTAGGAACAAACAACAATCTGACAAAACAATTCTCATATAATTCATGACATAACTTATGCTTTGATATAAAACACAGCATAGACGCTGAGCTAGTGAAGCCTAACAGGCTGAAACTGGACTCCTCTATCTCATCCAGTGTGCTACCATTTCCATTTGGCAACTGTTCTCATCGGGTGAAACGCTGCGATAAATGTGCATATGTTTATTTAAACCGCGATATAATAAGCTATTAATTAAAGAGGAATGATGTTTTACTGAGACCCCCTAAACCCTCCCCCCCAGGTGAGAGGAGAACATCTTCACATTACTCCCCCTCTCCAACGTTAGATAGGACTTGGCACAATTGAAATACCCTCTTCTCCCTCAAACTCCAATTTCCTTTTCTTTCTTTTTAAATCTTCTCCCCTCTCTCCCGGGCCGCTCTTCCTCTCTCTGCTCGATGAAGAGGAGCCTCAGTTCCAGATCTTCAGGAAGCTGTCCCAGGACCCTGTGCAACACGCCATCCCGTCTGAGGAGACCCCGATGCAGCTCACCCTGTTGTCGTGACCCGCCAGCACTCCTACAGGGGGGGGGGGAAACAGTACACCTGAGTATTGCATGTTTCCTTATCCAGTGAGTTACTGAGTGAACAGATTAACATGCACTTTTGTATTCATCTATTGGATTATCAATACAGTATGTCAATAGTGTTGGATTAACTCAACATTAAAGATTTAAAATATTGGACTTTATACAAAAAAAATGGATGAAGCCACAATTTTATCTCTTTAAACATTTCAAAACAGGTAAACTAATAAAAGGCACCCAGTATTTCACAAGCCTTAATTATCATGAAAAAAGTGTAATATTTCTAAGACATAATCAAACATATTATCAAGCCCCCCCCCCTTCAAAATGTAAATATAATCTACCTGCACATTTGCCAAAAGTATTCTGGGTTCATTATAGCTACTTATTATTTGTAATCTGATCACATATTCCTGATTGCATGTAACCTATTGCTACCTGAACACTATTATCAGAGATGGCAAAAGTACACACATCCTTTACTCAAGTAGAAGTACAGATACTCATGTTTAAAAATACTCTGGTAAAAGTAGAAGTACTGACTAAACTTCTTTACTCAAGTGAAAGTAAAGAGGCTTTGAAATGTACTTCAGTAAAAAGTACCCATAACTAGCAGCTGCTTTAAAGAGTACCTGACCTCCCTTTATATTAATAGAACAATAATGTCATTGTTAGCTAATGAATGTTTCCATGCTGAACAACGGCAACATGACAACGTTTCCATTGGTCCCTCTTCTTTAGAGAAGACCAGGAAATGATGGATACACGGATCGTGTTCAAATCAATAGGCACGCAATGACTCTAAAGAATAATGATCACGCCACAAAACACACATTCAGACTAAAGGAACCAGCTGTTTGGAAAATGAGAGAAGTAGAAAGTACAGGTATTTGAGTTCAACATGTAAGAAGTAGAAAGTACAGGTATTTGAGTTCAACATGTAAGAAGTAGAAAGTACAGGTATTTGTGTTCAACATGTAAGAACTAGAAAGTACAGGTATTTGAGTTCAACATGTAAGAAGTAGAAAGTACAGGTATTTGGGTTCAACATGTAAGAACTAGAAAGTACAGGTATTTGGGTTCAACATGTAAGAAGTAGAAAGTACAGGTATTTGAGTTCAACATGTAAGAAGTAGAAAGTACAGGTATTTGTGTTCAACATGTAAGAAGTAGAAAGTACAGGTATTTGAGTTCAACATGTAAGAAGTAGAAAGTACAGGTATTTGGGTTCAACATGTAAGAAGTAGAAAGTACAGGTATTTGAGTTCAACATGTAAGAAGTAGAAAGTACAGGTATTTGGGTTCAACATGTAAGAAGTAGAAAGTACAGGTATTTGAGTTCAACATGTAAGAAGTAGAAAGTACAGGTATTTAGGTTCAACATGTAAGAAGTCAAAGTGGTCAGAAAAATAAGTAGTGGAGTAAAGTACTGATACCAGAACGATATACTTAAGTACAGTAACAAAGTATTTGTACTCCACTACTTCCCACCTCTAACCCTCTGATTGGTATACACCCTCCCCCCTGAGCCACAGCCCCCACGTTACCCTCTCTGTTTTCCTCCCGTACTCACCCACTCTCTCGGCCTTCAGCATGTCCCAGATGTTGACGTTGAAGTCGTCGTGCCCGGCCAGCAGCAGGCGTCCTGACTTGGAGGGGGCGAGGGAGGTGACCCCGCACATGATGCTGGAGTCCTGGTAGGTGAGCAGCTCCTGGTCGGCCCGCAGGTCGTACAGCTTGCAGGTGGCGTCGTCCGAGCCCGTGATCACCGCGTTACCATTGGGGAAGAACTGGGGGAGAGAAGAATCAGATCAGAATACGTGTGGCGGCTCAAATTCCAGTTAAGTTTGAGTCGCCGAGAGGCTAAGCTTGGCTGTATGCTGCGACGCGTTTTCAATGAGAAAGTCCATCCTGAAGGAAGATAGGTTGACGATATTCAATAAACAAAATCAAAACAGAGTAGGGGACAAAGACGGTAAACAGAAACAAGGTCAGCACAAGCTCACCCTCTGTCATCACACCCGACATGAAACAGGTGACCTATACACAAACCACGACCAAGTGACGATTGCCGCAAGTGCTCAACAAATACAAATAAAAGTGACATAAACAAATAATAATAATAGAAATAATGAACTCAGGCTAAGTAGCATGTGTCACCTACAATACCTTTATTCGTCCCACAGAGGGGAAAGTACAAGAAGGGGTTAGACGACAGTGTAGTGAAAGATAATACACATATCTGCTCTAACCATAAATATGTTAGTTTTCTTTTCTGCATTATCATAAGCCTTCATATTATTTTATAATTGTTTTTATTGGATTTATTCATTCATCATTTTTTAATTTACACGTACATGTTTTCTTTTGTTCACGGAAACATGCTTTTGGATTTAAAGCATTCAATAAGGCCTGTTTCTTTGTCTTGTTTTATTTAGAGGATTAGAGCTACTTTGATCAAAGCTAAGTCAATTAAAAGTATATTTAAAAAGTGTTTCTGTTGTCCTGCTGACGAACACACCAACAAACCGTCTAAATGAGACGGAGATATTTTAAAGGGGGACATTGTGGACGACAAGATGCAAAGTCACAGGTTGGATTTGAACCCCGCTCCAATGCAGTAACGACTCAACCTCAGAGCATATCCTGAGCCTCTTTTGAGCAACACAAAAGTGAGGTTTCATCTGATTGTCTCTCCTCACGGTTGATTGCACTTATCGTAAGTCCCTTTGTTTAACAGCCTGAGCTAAATGAAATGCACGAGTGATGTAACGAGTAAATCCTCCTCACCCCGATAGCGTTGATGTCGCTCTCATGGCCTCCGAAGGTCTGTCTGCACTCGGCCTCTCTGATGTCCCACAGTTTGGCCGTGAAGTCGCACGCTCCTGAGATGAAGAACTTGAAGTCTGGAGACACGCCCAGAGACATGGCGTCGCCCTGATGTCCCGCGAACACCGTCTTCTGGGTCCCTGTCTCGATGTCCCACAGTACGCTGCAAGGAGACGCTCAAAGGTTACTCTTATGTTTTGATGAGAGAGAGAAAGCTTCCGGTGGTTACAGCAGCTCCTAATCACCACTGAGTAGTTTCCTTATATTGACTTTATTTAACGTACTTTGGTCCTATTTATTGTATACCTTTCTTTTTAACTTATATAATGTTGTAAGCATGCTTCTTAGGTAACATGGAGCTGTCTTTGGCTCTTTTCTGCTGTATCAATGTACATGATGTCCCCTCTGTGGGACTGAGACCGGTATTCTGATTCTGAGATAAGTTGCAGCATGTTTTAGTTTGGTTACTAAAACTATAAGGCTGAAACCATAGAGAACGTTTCTTTACTAGATTATAAAAAAACAGCTTATTTGTCAGTTGTTGTAAAACTATTCCACCATATTTGTATTTGTATTTCTTATGTCTTAACAGCTTTGTATGTTGTACTCTTTGGAGGCGCTCCAGACTTGCATTTAGATCAGATTATATATACTTTTAAGTATCCAAAATTGTCACACAGCAGTTAAAAATATAGAAATAATTACATAAAACATTAATAGTAAATATATACAAATCAACAGTAGAATATATATATATATATATATATATATATATATATATAGAGAGAGAGAGAGTTTGTGTAATTTGTGCCTTCATTTTCCCTTTCAATGTGTCTGTTTATTGTATCGTACCTATTTTAAATCAATGTTTAGACTGATTGAATGTGTTTGGATTATTACTAGTCAAAGGTCAATTAGTTTTAGGGTATTTCTTTTTTCTTTTAGCTTGTAATGTGTCTATATAACACTAAACTCTCTCCAATTCTAGATGTGTTAATGTGTTAATATACATATACACATATTTTAGTGTGTGGGGCCCCTTTTAATAAGCTTTGGGTAGTTTATCAGGGTGTCATGTTTAGATATCTCCATTATGTCTTATGTGTACTTTAACTGTTTGTGACCCAAAGAAATCACAAAAATTATATTGCTTCGTTTTTAGTACGTAGAATTCAACATTTAAAACACAAGTGTAGGGAGGTGGAAAGAATAGAGACTGAACTGAGGAAAAACAATTACACTAATGGATAGTGAGATTTGAAAGGCCCTGGATTAATCACACAATATTATTATACGTGCAATATTTGTATTAAATCAATATGGGAGCATAACGTCGACCCTTTCAGAATCCTCCTCACCAGGTGCAGTCTCCAGAGCTGGTGATGATCTCCGTGTCGCTCAGGAAGCGACAGCAGGACAGGTAACCTGGGGGAACAAAATATATGTTTATTTTGTATTTATTGACCTGGTTTGTTGATACATGTAGGCTACTTTGCTGAAAACACAAAACTCACGTATTTACGCCATATTGTATTCCTTAAATCCTAAATCTTTTGGATTTTTTTTTAACGTGAATGGAACACAGTAAGGAGAAAAAAATAAGAAAAACAAAAACATATAACCTACATAAGTACAATTATATATAAAATAAATCCCTCCTCACTCACTAGAGCAGGGGTGTCAAACTCAAATACACAGTGGGCCAAAATAAAAAAAATGGGTACTAGTCGAGGGCCGGACTGGTTCAATGTTCATTGCAGAACTTATTGAAATGAACTCATTGCACATATTAAACCTGGAACTAACAAAGCTTAAATTATTGCCTATAAAAACAACATTCAACATTAAATAATCAGTTGCATTCATTTCTTATGGCTCTATCTGCAGAGTCATTTCTTATGAGTACATTTTTCCACAGGCCAACAACAGCTTCAACAAAACTATTCCCCTCAAAGAACAAACCAAACATGCTCTGTTGTCTCAAGAGAAAGAAGTGCAGAAGGAAACATCCATTAAACTCAGTGTGCTGCTCTGTGAAGCTAGTTCAGATACTTGGCATCTCATCTCGGGTGCAAGGTCATCAATGTTTGGGCTCAGGCTCTGAGCGGAGGAGACCCTCAGGATGGAGTGAAGGTGTGCGTGCAATATACCGGCGGGCCAGATCTAACAGTAATTAGAAATCATCCTGCGGGCCAAAATGAAATCCACCAAGGGCCTGATTTGGCCCCCGGGCCTCGAGTTTGACACATGTGACCTAGTGTATCCATGGAACTGCCCCTCCCTACCTCAAGGAACTCCTCACCCCTCATACTTCCTTGCGGACCACCCGCTCCTGCAACTCCAACCTCCTCAAACCCCCCAGGACCTCCTTCTGCTCGGCTGCTCCCAGTCTGTGGAACGCTCTCCCCGACCACACGAGAGCGCCACAGGCCCTGGAGGCTTTTAAAAAAGGCCTCAAAACCCAATAGAGCCCAATTCCCTAGACCTTTATTTATTTGTTATTGTTTGTTTTTACTGCCTTTTATTCATTCTACCGTGTTGTGTACTGTTTTTATTTTTGTTCCATGCTCACTGCTTGTAGCACTTCGGGATTTGAACTCAAATATGAAGTGCGTTATAAATGAAACCCATTATTATTATTATTATTATTATAAAAACAGCTCAGATACTAATTACAAATCAAATACATCATTATAATTAGAGATATAGTGAATACAAAAGTACTGAGCGAATGAAAAGACAGTAAGGTAATAAAATATGAAGCGTTCATAAATGAATACAAATTATTATAAAAGAACATAACAATTAAAATACATATTTATAATAAAAGCGATGAAAGATAAGATTAATTCAAAACGGTGAGTGAAAGACAGTATGGGTCAAATTAAATGAATTATAAAATAAAACAAGGTAAAAAACTAAACAAAACATATAGCCTACTAGATAAATACAAATAATTGTAACATAAAAAAAGCAGATTACTAATTGAACACATATAGATATTTATAATGAGTAAAAATAAAATATGGACTTCTAGATAAAGTGGATAAGACTCAGTGAAGAGCGTCAGTGTCTTCTTGTTTCTCCCCACCTGTGTGCGCCGCCAGCTCCCTCATGACCTTGACGTTCCCGTCTTTGCCCTTCAGGTTGTAGATGGAGCACATGTTGTCCAGACCGCCGCACGCCACCAGGTTCCCCGAGGGCGCGTACGCACACGTCATCACCCACGACGACTTCAGAGGGATGGCGTTCACCTGCACGAGTTGTGTGAGTTAGTAAACAGATATATCGACCCCTCACTAGCCCCCATTCATAAATACTTGTTGTATTTACAACTCAAAATAACACTGAGTTTTTGGGCGTGGACAGAAATGAACATTTAAAATTAGTAACAGGATGAAACTTAATCAGCACTTTTCAATATCTGCGTACTTTCTGCTGTCAGTTGAGCTGATCTGGGGAATCAGGAACTCTTCAAACACGGAAAGTTCCTGAAGGATTTGAACATACAGTATTGTACTCACACGACCTCAAAAAGCAAGTAGTGTCCTGGCTTTATGTATGTTCACTAGATGGCTCTGTATTTTTGATATTGTGAATGATTTAGATATACTATTGATATATATTTGTCTGCTGTTAATGTGTAAATATTTACTGTTTACAATACTCCTACTTTACCCACTTTGATAAAGTATTTAGTATTCTATGTTTATATATGTTGTCCTTGTAAAATATACACATAACACATTTAATGCAATATGATGTCAACACAATATTCATAAAGTGGCTCCACTGACAAATTACAACTCTGAAACGCTCGTACATGCATTTGTTGGTGGTAAACTCATTAATCATATTATTCTATGATAATAGAATAATATGAAAAGAGTCATTCTGCATACTGAATTATTTTACAAGAGAAACTTTAAGTACATTTAGCTGATAATACTTCTGTACTTGTACCTGAAGGATTTGCACATATTCAAAAAGCAAGTGTCCTGTCTTTATATATTTCAGTTCACGAGATGGCTCTGCATTTTTGATATTGTGAATGATTTAGATATTCTATTGATATGTGTCTGCTGTTGATGTGTACATATTATCTGTTTATGTTACTACTACTTTACCCACTTTTATAAAGTATTAAGTATTCCTATGTGTCTGCTGTTGATGTGTACATATTATCTGTTTATGTTACTACTACTTTACCCACTTTTATAAAGTATTCCTTTGTTTATATATTTTGTCTTAGTAGTAGATTGTGTTATCAAACAGATTCCTTACTGTTTTCTGTATACGTGATTCTGTATTCTGTACATTGATATACATCTTTTCTATTTGATGTGCTTATTTACTTTCAGGTTATGTTATGTAAGGTGTTATACATAACATAACCATATGCCTCACGTGGTATGTGATTGTTTCACAGCTCTCCTTCTCCCTGTCCTACCTTGTTGGTCGTGATGGTGTCCCACACGATGAGTTTTCCATCTTGTGAGGCGCTGACACACAGCCTGGTGTTACAATCATAACAAAGATGGAGAAAGAAGACAATTAGACATTTACACCATGCATATACGTAAAATACACAATTTAAAAGTACTTTACAAGATCTAATTTACCAACAATAATAAAATGTATTAGTAGAAACCTATCATATTCTGGCTGTAAAAATAAAACAGGTGCTTTTTCAATAAGAGTATGATGGATACAGGACATTTCGATTGTGCTGTTTTGTTGCTTCTTCACTCGTAATCAGAGGTGGGAAGAAGTGGAGTACAAATACTTCGTTACTGTACTTATACATTGTTCTGGTTTCAGTACTTTACTCAACTACTTATTTTTCTGATGACTTTTTACTTCTACTTCTTACATGTTGAACACAAATACCTGTACTTTCTACTTCTTACATTTCTAACACAAATACCTGTACTTTCTACTTCTTTCATGTTGAACACAAATACCTGTACTTTCTACTTCTTTCATGTTGAACACAAATACCTGTACTTTCTACTTCTTACATGTTGAACTCAAATACCTGAACTTTCTACTTCTCACATGTTGAACACTAATACCTGAACTTTCTACTTCTTACATGTTGAACACAAATACCTGTACTTTCTACTTCTCACATGTTGAACACAAATACCTGTACTTTCTACTTCTTACATTTCTAACACAAATACCTGTACTTTCTACTTCTTACATTTCTAACACAAATACCTGTACTTTCTACTTCTTTCATGTTGAACTCAAATACCTGTACTTTCTACTTCTCACATGTTGAACACAAATACCTGTACTTTCTACTTCTTACATTTCTAACACAAATACCTGAACTTTCTACTTCTCACATGTTGAACACAAATACCTGAACTTTCTACTTCTTACATGTTGAACACAAATACCTGTACTTTCTACTTCTCACATGTTGAACACAAATACCTGTACTTTCTACTTCTTACATTTCTAACACAAATACCTGTACTTTCTACTTCTTACATTTCTAACACAAATACCTGTACTTTCTACTTCTTTCATGTTGAACTCAAATACCTGTACTTTCTACTTCTTTCATTTTGAACACAAATACCTGTACTTTCTACTTCTTACATGTTGAACTCAAATACCTGTACTTTCTACTTCTTACATGTTGAACTCAAATACCTGTACTTTCTACTTCTTTCATGTTGAACACAAATACCTGTACTTTCTACTTCTTACATGTTGAACTCAAATACCTGTACTTTCTACTTCTTACATGTTGAACACAAATACCTGTACTTTCTACTTCTTTCATGTTGAACACAAATACCTGTACTTTCTACTTCTTACATGTTGAACACAAATACCTGTACTTTCTACTTCTCACATGTTGAACCCAAATACCTGTACTTTCTACTTCTTACATGTTGAACCCAAATACCTGTACTTTCTACTTCTTACATTTCTAACACAAATACCTGAACTTTCTACTTCTTACATGTTGAACTCAAATACCTGTACTTTCTACTTCTTTCATGTTGAACACAAATACCTGTACTTTCTACTTCTTACATGTTGAACACAAATACCTGTACTTTCTACTTCTTTCATGTTGAACACAAATACCTGTACTTTCTACTTCTTTCATGTTGAACACAAATACCTGTACTTTCTACTTCTTACATGTTGAACACAAATACCTGTACTTTCTACTTCTCACATGTTGAACACAAATACCTGTACTTTCTACTTCTTACATGTTGAACCCAAATACCTGTACTTTCTACTTCTTACATGTTGAACCCAAATACCTGTACTTTCTACTTCTTACATGTTGAACACAAATACCTGTACTTTCTACTTCTTACATGTTGAACTCAAATACCGGTACTTTCAACTTCTCACATGTTGAACACAAATACCTGTACTTTCTACTTCTTTCATGTTGAACACAAATACCTGTACTTTCTACTTCTCACATGTTGAACACAAATACCTGTACTTTCTACTTCTTACATGTTGAACACAAATACCTGTACTTTCTACTTCTTTCATGTTGAACACAAATACCTGTACTTTCTACTTCTTACATGTTGAACACAAATACCTGTACTTTCTACTTCTCACATGTTGAACACAAATACCTGAACTTTCTACTTCTTACATGTTGAACCCAAATACCTGTACTTTCTACTTCTTACATGTTGAACACAAATACCTGTACTTTCTACTTCTTACATGTTGAACTCAAATACCTGTACTTTCTACTTCTTTCATGTTGAACTCAAATACCTGTACTTTCTACTTCTTACATGTTGAACTCAAATACCTGTACTTTCTACTTCTTTCATGTTGAACACAAATACCTGAACTTTCTACTTCTTACATGTTGAACCCAAATACCTGTACTTTCTACTTCTTTCATGTTGAACTCAAATACCTGTACTTTCTACTTCTTACATGTTGAACTCAAATACCTGTACTTTCTACTTCTTTCATGTTGAACTCAAATACCTGTACTTTCTACTTCTTACATGTTGAACACAAATACCTGTACTTTCTACTTCTTTCATGTTGAACACAAATACCTGAACTTTCTACTTCTTACATGTTGAACACAATACCTGTACTTTCTACTTCTCACATGTGAACTCAAATACCTGTACTTTCTACTTCTTACATGTTGAACTCAAATACCTGTACTTTCTACTTCTTACATGTTGAACTCAAATACCTGTACTTTCTACTTCTTACATGTTGAACTCAAATACCTGTACTTTCTACTTCTTACATGTTGAACTCAAATACCTGTACTTTCTACTTCTTTCATGTTGAACTCAAATACCTGTACTTTCTACTTCTTACATGTTGAACTCAAATACCTGTACTTTCTACTTCTTACATGTTGAACTCAAATACCTGTACTTTCTACTTCTTACATGTTGAACTCAAATACCTGTACTTTTCTACTTCTTACATGTTGAACTCAAATACCTGTACTTTCTACTTCTTACATGTTGAACTCAAATACCTGTACTTTCTACTTCTTACATGTTGAACACAAATACCTGTACTTTCTACTTCTTACATGTTGAACTCAAATACCTGTACTTTCTACTTCTTACATGTTGAACTCAAATACCTGTACTTTCTACTTCTTACATGTTGAACTCAAATACCTGTACTTTCTACTTCTTACATGTTGAACACAAATACCTGTACTTTCTACTTCTTACATGTTGAACTCAAATACCTGTACTTTCTACTTCTTACATGTTGAACTCAAATACCTGTACTTTCTACTTCTTTCATGTTGAACTCAAATACCTGTACTTTCTACTTCTTACATGTTGAACTCAAATACCTGTACTTTCTACTTCTTACATGTTGAACCCAAATACCTGAACTTTCTACTTCTTACATGTTGAACACAAATACCTGTACTTTCTACTTCTTTCATGTTGAACTCAAATACCTGTACTTTCTACTTCATACATGTTGAACTCAAATACCTGTACTTTCTACTTCATACATGTTGAACACAAATACCTGTACTTTCTACTTCTTTCATGTTGAACTCAAATACCTGTACTTTCTACTTCTTTCATGTTGAACTCAAATACCTGTACTTTCTACTTCTTACATGTTGAACTCAAATACCTGTACTTTCTACTTCTTACATGTTGAACTCAAATACCTGTACTTTCTACTTCTTACATGTTGAACCCAAATACCTGAACTTTCTACTTCTTACATGTTGAACACAAATACCTGTACTTTCTACTTCTTTCATGTTGAACTCAAATACCTGTACTTTCTACTTCTTACATGTTGAACTCAAATACCTGTACTTTCTACTTCTTACATGTTGAACACAAATACCTGTACTTTCTACTTCTTACATGTTGAACACAAATACCTGTACTTTCTACTTCTTACATGTTGAACACTAATACCTGTACTTTCTACTTCTTACATGTTGAACTCAAATACCTGTACTTTCTACTTCTTACATGTTGAACTCAAATACCTGTACTTTCTACTTCTTACATGTTGAACACAAATACCTGTACTTTCTACTTCTTACATGTTGAACTCAAATACCTGTACTTTCTACTTCTCACATTTTCCAAACAGCTGGTTCCTTTAGTCTGAATGTGTGTTTGATGCGTGATCATTATTCTTTAGAGTCATTGCGTGCCTATTGATTTGAACACGATCCGTGTATCCATCATTTCCTGGTCTTCTCTAAAGAAGAGGGACCAATGGAAACGTTGTCATGTTGCCGTTGTTCAGCATGGAAACATTCATTAGCTAACAATGACATTATTGTTCTATTAATATAAAGGGAGGTCAGGTACTCTTTAAAACAGCTGCTAGTTATGGGTACTTTTTACTGAAGCACATTTCAAAGCCTCTTTACTTTCACTTGAGTAAAGAAGGTTAGTCAGTACTTCTACTTTTACCAGAGTATTTTAAAACACGAGTATCTGTACTTCTACTTGAGTAAAGGATGTGTGTACTTTTGCCATCTCTGCTCGTAATAAATGTGTGTGCGTGCGTGTGTGTGTGTGTGTGTGTGTGTGTGTGTGTGTGTGTGTGTGTGTGTGTGTATTTACGTGGAGTCGGTGCCCCAGTGCATGGCGTAGATCTTGGCCAGGTGACCCCTCAGAGTTTTCCGGGTCTTCAGCTGGACCCGGCCCACCACCGTGACGCCGGCCGCCGCCTCCTGCAGTGTGGAGTCCTGAAACGTCTTACGAGCTGCCTGTGGAGTGCACACACACACACACACACACACACACACACACACACACACACACACACACACACACACACACACACACACACACACACACACACACACACACACACACACACACACACACACACACGTTAGTATTTTGTCGTAGTAGTTTGCAAAAACACATAGACAGTGATATATAATAATAATAATAATACATTTAATTTTTATAGCGCTTTTCCTGATGCTCATTCATTCATTCAATCTTCATTTCAGACTCAAGGTCCATATCACATACAAAATGACAAGATACACATTAATAAAGACGCTTTATATAAAATCAGAAAACAGTACAAAGGAAAAAAATAAATCATAATAATAATAATATATAAATAAAATATATAAATACTATAATTAAGTTCTACTTTGAGAAACTTTAAGTAAGTAACATATATTTCCACTCCACTACATTTAGAGACAAATATACAACAACATAATGTTTCTACATGTATTTGTTAGTGATACAAACAGGATATTATACTTTTCTTTAATAATTAAAAACTGTGAAAAGCAGTGGTGGGAAGTAACTCAGTACCTTTAATCAAGTACTGTATTTAAGTATAATACTGGGGCACTTGTACTTCACTTGAGTATTTAAATTATTGTTGTAGTTCTTTGTAACCGCTAGTTACTGGTTACTTTGTGCATCTATGCACATAACACATGTAATGCAATATGATGTCAACACAATATTCATAAAGTGATCCAATGACAAATTACAACACTGAAACGCCAGTACAAGCAAAACTATATTCAAATGCTTTGAACTTTATTTGTTTGAACTTTATTTTATATGTCAAAGTGAGAGGCACGTAATGACAGATATAAGCCAAATTGTTAATAATAATATTGACGGCCCTACTGACGTTTAATGTTATGATGCAGTACGGCACTTCTATTGGTTCTACATTGACAAACTATATTTAAATTATCTACGGTATGGTAACATTTCCTAAAAATCACACTGTAAACAATTTGTCATTCTGCGAACCGAGTACTTTTGACATTTGAGGTACATTTTGATCCCAGTACTTTTACTCCAGGGACCTGTTAGATAATTATGAATGAATTTATAAAATGCCGATGTCAGTGAAATGAGCCACACATTCTCTCAGATATTTGTTAAATTAGAATTAGTCAGAAAATGTAGCAATTTAACACCATAGTATTTCAACTTTTACGAAACTAAAGGATCTAAGCACTCTGTCCACTCAGCGCAGAGATATTAAAGATATGAATTCAGGTCGAAGAGAAAGGCAAAGTCCCGTAATGACAACAATAAGCTGCATTGTTTATCGAAGACGATATGTTTAGGTATACTGACAGTGATCTGGTCTTTCAGATTTTCCATCTCCTTCCGCAATTCCTCCATTTCACCCATGGCGCTGGTCGTTAGGTCACCAGTGGAGACAGGGAGAGAAAGATGATGATCCTGAAATCAAGACAACAAAAACAGACATTAGTCACAGTGAAATCTGCTTCTAAAAATAAGACGTAGAAGCAGTGTTTCCTGTCAAGAAAAAGAGAGAAATACTTCATGCTGGAATTGTACCTGCTCCTACCTGAACAATTGTTATTCCTCCCTAGCTCCAGTCTCCAAGTGAGCGCTATTTTGCAAGTCAAACTGGCGCTCGTCTACTTTGCAAACTTTCATAAACAGGCAGGACCCACACACGCAATCCTGCACACACACACACACACACTCACTCAACACACACACTCACACACACACTGAGTATATGAGCTTGACATTAACAAAGTATTTGCTCTTCAGGTGACGAGATATCAATGGAGAGCACACAACTTCTCCCTGAATGTACACACAAACCAGTAAGTCCTGTAACAACAATGTCAGCAACACTTCTCAACACATCATTCACAGCGCTAACATTTAACACTCCAGCGAGCGCCCACTTTAATATAATGACGGCTATCGAATTAGGTTAATGTCGTGATTAAATGAGCAAGGTTTGGCAGCAATCACCTTAATGGACAGACAGGGTGGGCAATGTCATCAAAGCCACAAAAGCTGATTTCACAGAAACAAAAGGACGATAACTTCACTTTTATCCATGTATTTTTTCTTTTAATGTTTCTTTTATTATCTTTTCTTTTTAAATGCCATTTTCTTAATGTCTTTCGTTTTTTGTAAAGCACTTTGAATTCCCTTGGGTTGAAAGGTGCTATTTAAATAAACTTGCCTTGCCTTGAAAAAGCAGCAACAACAACAACATGTGTTAAACAAGACTTATCCTGCTCTTGATGCTATTTCCTTTTATCTTACCTTGATATGAAGAAATACTCGCGTTGATCTTATCGCATGCTTCCCTCTGTCTTTCACTATTTGAATGAGTGTCCCTGTCAAAACACATGACCAAGTGCATTTGCCTCTAATTTGTTTGAAGTGAAAAGGAGAGGAAGGGAGTGAAGGAGGGAGGGAGTGACTCTGGAAGAGAAAGATATTTGCTTGAATTGTTTTGCCACTGGGCTTTATGCTTTATCTATCTGTAATGCCTGGAAAGGATGTGTTTGAATACAGTTAAAGGAATGATTCACGGCCTTTTATAGTAGCACCTCTGAAGTCAGCAACAGGGGATGTTTAGGCCTTTGGTTCCAGATGGTGAACTGCCTTCAATAGTGATTGTCGTAATGAGTGTTTTAGTCGTGCTATTAGCCTTTTGCCATTCTGTCCCTTGGACCCTGCCATTGTTGCAAGTGATTAAATGACAGATAGGGCTTGCTGGATGGTGAAGTGCATTAACAGCCACAGGAAGGGAGGGAGGAGGGGGAGAGAGGGAGGGGGGTAAGAGGCGAGAGGCTGGAGAGTGAGTTTTAAATCCTACTGGCTGAGATTTTAAAGGGAAGCCTTTTGAATCAAATCTGCTCTCATCCGATTACTGACTGCTCTTTGCATCTGGATAAGAGATGGAGAAAGGGATGGTGGGGTGGGGGGGGGAGGGGGGAGATAGTGGGATGAGAATGAGGGAGGGGGCAGATGGACGACGCAGGGAGAGTTTTGAGGACGGCAGCCGGTGAAAGGTGGAGTGTTTTCGGCCTGTGAACTTGACAGCTTGCACATTATCCAAAAAGCGCTTTTTCTAATTTGCGGTCCAACAACAAAACAGGATCTTCAAACATGGCTGTCGTTAATTTGATTAAAACATATTTAAATCGATTCATTCTGCGATGTAGCTTCATATTTTTCCTGTGTTCCTCATAGCCGGTTAACACGCCAAACCTGGGTGGTATGATGATATATTAAGTGAGATGAAAACACTGCTTCCTCTGTGACCTGACCCCGGATACGCGGTAGAAAATGGATGGATGGAAAACGCATTTGATTAGAGAAAGATGTAACCACATTCTTCATACTGTTATAGCTGATTGTGAAGTATCTATGACTGTACACAGCTGTTGTGAGTAATGTTTTCAATCAATAACCGGATTTGTTTATGCTAATATGGGATTTTGATGTCATAATAACCTTAAATGTGATAATGCACCAAAATGAGACCTAAACTTGACTATATCACAACTCATATCAGTATTAAATAACATATAACACAATCCTGTCCATACTGCCAGAGCCTAGTCTTCACCAACAAGCCATGTTCCCTCCTTTATAAAGTGCATTTCAAACCCTCTGAAGTTACATTTTCCACGACGCATGACACATCCACACAAACAAGCTAGCATGTGATGCAGATTATGTCGGACGGTATTAACAAATCAGACAACAAAGAGAATTTGTTTTTATCACAGATTATCAATCTACACGACAAAACCTGTGTTGTCCGTGATCCGATGTAAATCCCCCTGCTGTGTGCCATAAACACGAAGTATTCAAGTGCGTTTAAATGTGATCTGAGTGGCATCTCCATATTTGATCATGTCTTTAAACGTACTGTAAAATCACAAGTATATCATATTGTAAGGATCTTTTAACTATAGGGGTATTAATTGTATTTAGGTTAAGGATATATCATGTCAGTCAAAAAGGTCAGGATTTGTACTCAATTATAAAAACTCTTGGGGATAAATGACAATTTGTATCCAACCTTTGCATGTGATCCATCATCCAAGCAGTTTGACACAACTTCCAGGAACCAAATATGTAAACACAGGAGCATCCACTCACCGATAAGGAGATTCCTCGGGGTGCTTTGGCAGATCTTAAATCACTTTTCCTCCAGCGGTCTCCCCTCTGCTCGTTGTCATAAGTTCAGCCGCCCTGTGATACACTTTCTCCCGCTCATTCACTGTTGGTGTCACACACACACACACACACACACACACAGTGGGATATTCCTCTGTCACACACTCTCTCCACTGCTCCTATGAGGAACAGATGAGGATTGGAGGGATGAAGGGAGATCAGTGATGAGGGGATAAACCCTGGGATGGACAGAAAGGAAGAGGGGTGGGGGGTGGAGGTGGAGGTGGAGGGCAGTAAAAAGAGACAGAAAGGGAGAGGAGACTGTGGGGGAAACCAAACAAGGTGCAGAGCTACGTTATGGGGTCAGAAGACATAAGCTGGGGGTGAATCCGAATCAAAAACTAAGAGATGGAAATCGTGGAGGGGAGGGGGGGAGGAAGATAAATAGAGGATCTGAGAACATGGCTTTTTATGGTGCTAAAGGTAGAAGATTTACAGCATGACTGGCAGCAGGGTTTCTGTTTTGTAAACCCGAGGTGAAGCTAAGTTTAGAAAGTTTACGGGCAGAGAGATTGGTGGAAGATACACTGGTGACACAGAGGAACACAGCAGGGTCCAGGAGAGAGGTCTTTCTGGTTCATTCTCACCGCGTAGAGGTGGAAGAGTCTTAAAAGTAGTCGTAGTAAATTGTAAAAATACTCCAAAAAAAATCTATTTGACTTAAGAAAAAGTACAAGTATCGGCATCAAAATACACTTAAAATAAGTATGAGTTACGTATGAGATGTGGCCCAGTGCTAAAAGATGAAATAAAATTACAAGAGTATTATTAAAAGTGACAACAGAATGTAAAATACAAATCAAATGAGATAAAATACCATAACAAATACATCTCACTAATTGTCACTATGCAGACAGTCCCTCCAGGCGTGGACACATGTGCTTTTTTTATTATACTGTCCGTCCTTCTTATTCAAAATATAACTTTTTTTCTTCATCATTTTGACCTCATGTAACTCCCTGTCTGGCCAAAGCACTCCCCAGTTCTACTCTGGTGGTACAAGTACAAAACAAACCCTAGAACGTAGAGGTTTTTCTTTCGGACGGTCATGGATCAGGAGGTAGAGCGGTTATTCTCCAATTTGAGGGTTGTTGGTTCGATCCCAAGATACCCCAAATAACCTCCCAAAAAAAAAACTCCAGATAGCCTGGCCGTGTGTGTGTGTGTGTGTGTGTGTGTGTGTGTGTGTGTGTGTGTGTGTGTGTGTGTGTGTGTGTGTGTGTGTGTGTGTGTGTGTGTGTGTGTGTGTGTGGCCTAGCATTACTATACTTGTGGGGACCTACATCTGTTTACACGGTCGCGTGTGGGGACTCGCCTCCCTTATGGGGACAACATGGAGGGGGAATCATTCATTTGAGGGTGAAGACTTGGTTAGGGTTAGGCATGTGTTGGTTATGGTTAAGGTTAGGATAAGTCTCCAGGAAATGCATGTAAGTCAATGTAATGTCCCATGAAGTGATGTATACATGTATGTGTGTGTGTGTGTGTGTGTGTGTGTGTGTGTGTGTGTGTGTGTGTGTGTGTGTGTGTGTGTGTGTGTGTGATCCTGAGCAGGTGTATGGTAGCCACTGCCTGTGTGTGAACGGTTGAATGATGACTTGTTTATGTAAAGCGCTTTGAGGGGTATCAAAGACTGGAAAGCGTTATGTAAATGCAGTCAATTTACCATTTAAAATGTGCCCCTTCCTGTTAGAGAGTGTGCTGTTTCACATTATACAACACAGTGAATCACCTGTTTGTTATGAAACAGACTGGGTTGAATAACAGGAGGCAGTGCTTTCAGGCTTTTTAAATATAGTAACTAAATATAACCAAGGTGGTCTGCAGTCCTTTGAATCAGCTGCTGAAGTGGCCTTGAGTAAAAAACTGAAACTTTTTGATTGGTGAGTTTGACTTGCCCTACTCATTGTTCTCTCATTGTAGTTTTCCCTATTGGTAGAATGATTATTACCATACTACCGCTTAGTCTTCCTCCCTGTGCAATACACACATACATATTTATTATACTATATTGCACTTCATTTTGTTATTATTTTATGTACGTGTGAATGCTGCCTGTCTTTGTTGTAAGTTGTCTTTTCTGAATGTTTTGATGGCACCTTAAAGGTCCCACGTCATGGCCATTTCTACTGATCATATTTCCATTGTTGAGGTCTACTAGAATAGATTTATATTGTGCAATTTTCCAAAATTCTCATACAGCATCTCTGTATAGTATGTGTATTCACTCTGTGTCCTAAACGGCTTGTTGGAGCTCCTGCCCCCCCCCCCCGCCCTGTGAGCCCAGTGTGCTCTGATTGGTCGGGACGTTGCGAGGCTCGTTGCTGCGAGGAGCGGACAGGTTTCCGGGTCTGCGATACAGCGAGAACAAACGAAACTCATCCTGAGCACACACAAACACTCACAGCCGAAGAAAAAACAATAAGTGTGGCTTGATATTGAGTAAGAAAAAGGTTTATAACGCTGTGAGAATGGGTCTGCGGAGAGCATTTCTCCGCCATCCCAACTCGTCTATTACCAGCGTTCAGGGAGCTCTATGCAAGTCAATGGGGACTCCCTGTTAGTTAGCCAAGGGATCCAGAGGCCTGTACTACGAAGCTGGTTCAACCTAACCTGGATATGTTTTGAGTTAGCCGGTTGGCCTAATCCAAAACATACGCGCTCTCGCTAAACTGTAGCGCTGACGCTGGTTATCAAGTGGATCGCTCAAGCCAGCGGTGTCCTATCTAGTTAGGTGTGCACTGCGTTCACATGAAAAGGGTGGTATTTGGAGCATTCGACCAATCACAGACATGGAGAAGCGTACTGACAGCGCAGCGTCATACTTCCTGAATGAAAAGTCAACTATAATATTAGACATATGAAGAAGC